CCAAGCCTGGCTGAAAAGCTTTTAAATAAGGCTGGGCTCGTTGGCTCAACCTGTAATCCCAGCACTTTGGGAGACTAAGGCAAGAGGATTGCCTGAGCCCGCGGGTTCGAGACCAGTCCAGGCAACTTGGCGAGACCTCTATGATAAAATAAAAAATAGCCGGGTGTGGTAGCATGGGTATGTAGTCCCAGCTACTCAGAAGACCAGGTCGACGCTGGGGTGGCTGTGAGCGTGTGTGCCACTGCACTCCAGCCTGGGCAAAGGAGTGAGACTCCAACTTAAAAAAATAAATAAATAAATAAAGAGGCCAGGTGTGGTGGCTCATGCCTATAATCTCAGTACTTTGGGAGGCCAAGGCAGGAGGACCGTTTAAGGCCAGGAGTTTGAGACCAGTCTGGGCAACATAAAGAGATCTCGTCTCTTCAAAAAAAAAAAAAAATTAACTGGACGTGGTGAGAGTGCCTGTAGTCCCAGCTACTTGGGAGGCTGAGGTGGAAGAAGAGCCTGAGCCCAGGAGGTCTGGAGGCTGCAGTAAGCCATGATCATGTCACTGCACTCCAGCTTGGGCAACAGAATGAGACTCTGACTCAAAAAAAAAATTGAAAAAAAAAGAAGAAAAGAAATGAACTCAGTTTTCAACTCAAGAAGAATAAAAAGAATACAAAACAACACAACCTAGGAAGAAGTCATTGACAGAGAGTAAAAATATAAAATAGAAAAATATTAGCGTTAACAATAAATCTGTCATATGTGATAGAATAGTTATGTAAACAACTGAAATGAAAATAGAGATATAGCTACAGATAGACAGGAGATTAAAAATATAAAGTGAACCTACTTGTACTATTATATCAATAAATTTGACAATCTAGATAAAAGGAATAATTTTCTAAGAAAATATAAATTACCAAAATTGGTTTAAGATATAGAAAATCAAATCTTCAAGAAACCTTCAAAGATAATTGTCATGATATATAAACTGTACTACAGCATAGAAAAGATGGGAAAAATTGGAACTCCCATACACTGCTGGGTTGTAAAATGGTACAAACCACATTAGAGAACTGTGAGGCACTTTCTTATAAAAGTGAAGCCTATGTTTGCCCTCTTCCATTCCTAAGTATTTATCCAAAGAACTAAAAACATGTTCACAAAAAGACTTGTACACAAATGTTCAGGGGCGGTTTATTCATAATAGCTAAAAACTTGAGATAACCTAAATTTTCATCAATAGGAAATTAGAAAAAAAAATAGTGGTATAATCATAGAATGAATACTACTCAGCAATACAAATGAACAAATCACTTATATATATAAAGTAAGAACACAAACAAATCTCAAAAAAACATTATATTGAACAAAAGAAGCCAGGCACACAAAAAAACCATTATAAGATCCCATAAAGTTACCATATAATCCAGCAATTCTACTCTTAGGTATATACCCAAGGGAAATGAAAACATATATCTACACAAAACTTGTACACAAATGTTCACAGCAGCATTATTCATAAAAACCCCAAATGGAAATAACCCAGACATCCATCAGTGGATGAATAGATAAATAAAAACATGTTATTTTCCATACAATGGGAGATTGGCAATAAAATGAACAACTGATACATGCTACAACATGAATGAACCTTGAAAACATTATGCTATGTGAAAGAAGCCAGTTACAAAAGACCACATATTACATAATTCCATTTATATGATATATCCAGAATAGGCAAATCTAGAGAGACAGAAACAGGCAAATCTACAGAGACAGAAAGAGGACTGATTACTGCCTAGGGTGAGGGATTAGGAACATATGTCGGGGGGAAATAAGGAGTGATTGCTAATAGGTATAGATTTCTTTGGGAAGTGATGAAATGTTCTAAAATTATATTGTGGTGATGGTTGTACAACTCTGTGAATATACCAAAATCCACTAATGTGTACAGTTTAAATGGGTAAATTTTATAGAATGTCAATTATATCTCAATAAAGCTGTTAAGTAAAACAACTTGGAACTGAACACCTAAAGGAAAATAAAAACGGTATAAGAACCTTTAGCATTAGGAAACCTAAATCTCAAGTGCAAACATAGAACAAAAAGAGCACTTTTAAATATACTCAGAACAAAAAGCTGAATGAAGAAATAGGTCTCTGCCCTGTGCCAGTAATAGAATAATTATAAACGACAGATGTAAAATTCTTCAATTATGAATTTTCCTTGTGCCTTCTCAGTTCCCAAGAGGAAACTAAAGCCCAATGAGTAAAAAAGTAGTATAAGTGTAAATCCAATTACTTTTACAAGAGTTCAAATATCTTTCTTGAACTAGATGAATTATAGCCAAGGGAACTGAGAGCAATCTCAAACGTGACCACTGAAACTATGTCAATGATCTTTAAGAAATCACCGAGAAAGATGTTCCAGAAGATGGGGGATATTTAACTTCAATTTTCAAAAAGGGATTAAAAGTTAATCCTACAAATTACAGACCACTGAGTTTACTTTAGCTTGCAAGACCCTAGAAATGGAAGAATAAGCACTAGAAACCAGCTTGGATTCACTAAGAAAATGTCAATTTAGGCTAATCCTTATTTCTTTTTTGTACTGTTACTAAGCGGATAGCTATGAGAAATATGGTAAACATATTCAACAAAGCATTTGATGAAATCTTTTATGAGATCCTTAAGAACAAAATCAAGAAATAAGAGGTGAAAGTTAATTGTTGTTAGACAGATTAATAATCACTTGAAGTACCATTTCCAAGTCATGCAGATTACCAGGTCACTATCATGCTAGAGGAAAGTTTCTAATAGCATACACTGTAAGGTTCTTCTGGCCATATGAACGACATCACTTAAATGCAACAACTTGAATGAATATATGGAAACTATGCTGATGAGGTTTATATGTGACAACTTCTGGAAGGGATAGCGAATACTTAAAATGACAGAATCAGCATATTTATTTTAATTATAAGTAGCTGACAGTAAAACAAAACAATACAAAAGCTAAAACTTGCCTAGACCAGATAAAGTCAAACCAAGTGCCAGATCCAAATCTCATACCTGAATTAGAGAATGAGTGCAAGGGAAAGAAAAAATTTTCCACTATTTCTGAAATCAGCCTCAAATTTGAATTGTAGTTATTGTTAGAATGTGATCTGAAATATCCCAGTCAAAACACTAACAATACCAATAGGACTACTAGAAATTTTTATCCACAACTATGACCTTAATTACTTTCTCACCCTCTTTTAGACGATCTCCTTCAGCCTTGGTTTTCTTCTGCCTTTCTGATCCAGCAAGGTCTACAAGATGCAGCTTGGAGCGAAAGCTGCTATTCCTGTGATAAAGACAGAAAGACACAAATGAGAATGGTACACAAGCTTGAGAGTAGCTGAGTATCAAAGTTGACCTGCTGGCTCTCGATTTCTTTCAGGTCAGGCAAAATGGCTCCATTAATCACTAGTGCTCCATTTATTACAATACTAATGTCTGATAATTTGTCAAATCCATTGAAGAAGCAGCCTAATATTCAACCTTAATAGAACTAATATTAAAAAGCTTGACTCTTTAAATTGTAACTTACTTGTCATTTTTCTTTCTCTGCTCTATAGAGATTGTAAAGATGGCATGAGATCGGGATGACTGGGAGTTCATAGCTGTGGAGGCCACAGTCCTACAGTTGTTGCCCTGCTCCAAACAGGAAATAGTATCCAGGGCAACTAAAACAGTCTTCTCAGTGAGTCCTACAATCTAAATCCAAAAGAGAAAAGAATTCCCTTATGATTCATACTTCAAATGCTTGATCAAAAATTTGGTGGTTTAAAAAAAATCCCTTAAAGTTCCAGCAGAACTTTAATAAATAGATAGTCATGGTAATAAGCACTGTTTTAACAAGCAACTCTGTGAAGATCTCTGGAAACCAAGGTCTCCAAGCTTCCTTAGGAACTTCAGAAACAAGGGTGCCAGGAGCTAGAAAAGATATCTAGATTTTTGGGTAGTAGTGGCTAGGTGCCTTCCACAGAGCCTATGCGAAGTTAATTTTGGTCCTAGGGAGAACAAGTGCAGCTCAAACAGCTATGGTATTTCTCTTTGCTACTTTCTCCTCCATGTAACTGCACACTCCTCCCTGTACTTCTGACCCATTCTATACATCATTTTCACTAGAGGAAATATTATGGTACAGTTTCACTCAATTAGGAAGCCAGGAAAATAAGGTCCCAGGCTTGATACTTTATCTACCTGGGAGAACTTACACAAGTCAAAATCTCTTGACTCTCTAACTGGCTGTTACTTATACTTTGAAATCAGTAAATTATAAACCAAATTCAGCTTCCTTCTACCAGCACGGATTCTCGCTACTACTTCTCCCTTTCTATTAACATCTCTAGTCTCATATTCTCAAAAACTTAGATACTCTTCAACTCTTCTTATTCCTCCATATCCCATCTATCACCAACTCTTAGTCATTTCTTTTCCTTTCCACATCTACTTGCCTAGTCCAGGCCCATATTACTTCATGCCTAAAAAATAAGGCAACAGTTTCCCAAATGGTCTTCCTCATCTTAGTCTTTCTTCTTTTCAATACATTTCTGCTTATTCTTCCTAAAATCCTATTTCCTAAAATGTCACCAACCTTCAAAGACTTGGGCCAGATAGTGATAGAAAGAGATTTAAAAATACTCCTCTACAAGAGAGAATAGACAAGATCCGGTTCTACTGCAGACCAGCTTGGGAAGGGATAATGCCGAGAGGAGAGGCTGAAAAGGTAGAGAAATCTTGTAAAGCAACTTAAAGAGTATAGACTTTAGTTCAAGAGCAGCGAGGAATTATTGAAAGGTTTTAAGCAGGGAAATGATCGGTTTTATGTACAGATAGCCCCCAACCTCCAATGGTCCAACTTATAATTTTGACTTTACAATGGAGTATACATTCAGTATGCACCTCATCTTGGGGTTACACATTTTAAGTTGAAAATATCATCAAGTCAAAAGTGCACTTTTACCTTATGATATTTTCAATTTATGATGGCTTTATCTTATCGTAAGTTGAAAAGAACCTGTATTAGAAAAATTACTTGACCTCAGGGTATAAGAGATTAGAGGGAACAAGCCTTGGCCAGGAGACTTTTGCATTGGTTTAGGAAAGAAAAGATGATGGCCTAACATAAATAGTGGTGATGCGGGGAGCACAGATTTGAATGGTGTTTAGGAAGCAGAATTGATAGAACTTGGTGAGTGATAGGACTTGGTAGGATTTCGGGTTAGGGGAGAAGGAGGACACAGGGTTGATGCGCAGGTTTCTAGCTTAAGAGCTAAGTAATTAATGGTGTCATCTGCTCAGGAATGCTGGAGGAGCCAGTTTCAGGAGGCAGAGATGAGATCAGTTTAGGATGTTGGGTGCCTCTGAGACAACCAAAGAGATGTTAGTAGTCAGTTGAGTTTTTAAGTCCAAGAAAGTGTGGGCTAGAGACACATTAGAGAGTTATCTGTATATACAGATCATAATTAAAATCTTGGGGATGAAGAGGGCCTGTGCAGCCCTCAGCTCCACTTCAGACTATGGAGTGACTACCCTGGGGTTATGAGCACTAATGGAACATGCCCTATAAGTGTACCTTCCTCCCCTTCTGCTTCCTGTCACCCCCTGAAAACAGACTGTTCATCCCAACTGTGCCCACTGTTGCCACCACCAACTCTTCAGTGGGCTTCCTTTAATGGCTTCTCATCTCATAAGATTTATTCTCCCTTCCTTACCTCCAAAGTATAAAAGCTTCCAAATATTTAAAAAAAAAAATACTCCCCTAACCTTTAGGAGCTAACAGAGCTGGAAATACACACATAAGATAAAAACTTGGTAAAAGTAGCCATGGTAATCCTTTATTCAGAAGTATTAAATAGTCTATATACAGTTCGTAGGGATAGAAACAAGCTTTTTAGCCTGGCTTCATAATCTGGTCGTAACATATCTCCTGTTACTTCCCAGCCCAAATCCTCTAACCCAGACTGGTTTAGTCTTATTACCACCAAGTGTGTATTTTCTGCTTTCTTGCTATAGTTATTCCTTACTACAAGAATATCCTTACTTTTTTTCTCTACTTACTTAAAGCCTATCCATCCCATCTGAAGAGTGTTTACAAATTTGTCTTTACCCACCCCAATCTGTTCCAGAAACTCATACTTTTTGTATTGTAAATCTTACCTCAAGCAATGTTTGGGATTTAATTCCTCCTGCCTTAACAAAGGACATATAAAAGATCTTGAAACAGGGTCAAGTGCTGACTCAGTATCAACATTCTCTCTGTGATAGCCGTATTTTGCCCTGGTTTCTTATTCCCACTATCCAAATCATCTTCCTATATTCCAAGCTTATCAGGCCTTGCTTTGGGATCTTTATCTAGCTAACAACTTAACAACCCAGAAAAAAAAAATTCTGAAGCACAGGCAACTGCCCCTCACCTGTATTCCAAACCTTCATCTTTCTTATATTTTTTTCCTTTGTGCAGGGGAAGGGAAGAAGATAAGTAAAATATTACTATACCAAGTTTTCCCAAGTCTGTACTACCTATCCTCTGAGTTTCCCACTACTGAATACTTGAGCTCTTCCTATTTTCTTCTTTTTTTTTTAGTCCTTGTCTTTAAACCTTGTTTATTAAACCTCCTTATAAAATTTGTTTCTTCTCACCTAGAGGCCATCAAACTCCAGATGGTAAAGGAACCTCAAATGGAAATGTACTTTTTCTGGGGACCCTTAGATTACCCTCTGGGGGTCCCTAGCTGCTGTTCTCATACAACACCCATGATCAGCAGAAAGTAGCCAAACCAGTCATTGCCCCTACCCACTAATGACAGTTAGGGTCATCACTCAAAGGGTAGAATGAGAGAGGAGTAAACAAGAAGCCAGCTAGGCAGACAGATTAGGCTCTTCCCGTTTTCAATGCTGGCTCCTGGATCTGGCCTGCTCTCACATACAAAACATCCAACCTTGCCTCACACTTTCTGCTCAGATCTATGTCCTCACCCTATGTAACACAAGGCTCTCAAATAAGTGATCTCTCTTTCCTATGGTACTTACAATTTTTAAACATTTTATATTTATTTTATATTTATACTATTTCACTTTTTAAAAATATCATCCCAAAGCCAAGTACAATGTCTATCACAGTGAGGTTCTATAGGATTTTCTGTGATCCTGACTATCTGTATCTGTATGTGCTGTCCAATATGGTTGCTCTAGTCACATACAGCTATTGGGCACTTGCTATGTGGCTAGTGTGCCTGAGGAACTGAATTCTACATTTTATTCTATCTTAATTAATTTAAATTTAAATAACCACTCATGACTAGTGGCTACCATACTGGACTGCTCAGTCTCAGAACTCTGTAAATAATTTTAAAATATTTAATTGATATTCACATTCCTTTAGGAAGTAACAGGAAGGTGATAAAACTGAATAAGTCCTTCCTTCCCCACAAGAGCTCTCATCTAAAAATTCTAGATTAACAAAGGGAATTAGGATTACACAAACCAAAAAGATTGGGACATTAGCAGTCATTTAAAACCACAGTGGGAAATAAAAGGTATGTGAACTTTAGAAGTTACCAACATTTTAAAATATCATCAAATGAGAGATAAACACACCTTTATGCCTTCTTTAGGATCCTCGCGTATATTTATTTGAGAGGCTTTCTCACGAGATGAGCATAGAAGATCCAAAATTTCTTCATTGTAAATCTGATATTGTTGAAAATAAAGTGGCAAAAACAAGATGTTAACAGTGGTAATCTCTGGGTAGTGGGATCATAGGTAATTTAAAAAATTCTTTATGATTTTCTATATTTAAAGATTTGTTTACTATGAACATGTATTATTTTTAGAATTAAAGAAAGGACTATAACTCTATATGTAATCATTTGATATTTTATAAAGTAAATTCACAAATTCACATATCACTTCTTTCTGTTTTAGTCAGAGTCTCACTCTGTTACCCAGGCTGGAGTGCAGTGGCACAATCATGGCTACCGCAGGCTTGACCAGCTGGGCTCAGGCAATCCTTCCGCCTCAGCCTCCCAAGTAGCTGGGACTATAGATGCATGCCACCATGCCCAGCTAATTTTTTTAATTTATTGTAGAGATGAGGTCTCGCCATGTTGCCCAAGCTAGTTTCTAATTCCTGGGTTCAGGCAATCCTCTCCTCACCCTGGCCTTCCAAAGTGCTGGGATTACAGGTGTGAGTCACTGCACCCAGCCACATATCACTTCCAACAAAATTGAGACTACTCTCTTAAGACAGAGTCTCTTAGGAATAGTAGACACATGAAAAGTTTCATGGGTATCCAAATTCAGTTATTTGATAATGTCATAATAGCATCACATTCACTGATTTTGCTAAAATGTGAATATCAAGTTCTTAGGTGGTGGTGGGGATGCAAAAGGGAGCAGTAGCAACTAATATTTCAATAGCAAGTTAAACTTTAAGTATTGAGAACAGTATTTAGCACATATTAAGCACTATATTTGTTTGCTATTATGTTGTTACTATTATTTAACATAGCCGGTTCTGGAGTTATTTTTATATTCAATTAACTTGGCCACAACTAGATTAAGTAAGAGACCCAAGAAGGTCATTTTAATGATGTTAACTCCCTCTCTTCCAACTCTACACCTCCTATACCTGTTAATCTATTGAGATTCAACTTCAGGATGAAGTATTTACATACAATTTATAATTGCACGCTTAAATTATATAACTTTTTTTTGAGTTGGAGTCTCATTCAGTCACCCAGACTGGACTGCAGTGACCGCTCCCGGCCACGGCAGCCTCGCCTGCTGGGCTCCGGCGATCCTTCTGCCTCAGCCTTCCGAGTAGCCGGAATTACAGGCATGCGCTACCATGCCCGGCTGATTTTTTAATTTATTGTAGAGATGAGGTCTCGCTGCCCAGGCGGGTCTCGAACCCGCGGGCTCAGGCAATCCACTAACCTCAGCCTCCCAAAGGCGCGGGATTACAGGCTGAGCCACCGAGCCCGGCTAAATTATAAAACTTTATTTATTGCTACTTAAAAATAAGTATCTGCTATGGAACCAACCAGATAGCTTTCCAGAAGTCATTAGTTCCCCAAGCATGTGTTTTTGATGTCATGAGGTTAGATATAACTGGCTAGTCTACTCTTATACTGATATGCACTAGAATGCAGACTGTTAAGGGTAGGAATTTTTATGTTTTGCTCACTGATATGCCCTAAGTACTTAACATATCAAGTGCCTAGAGCAGAACCTGGCACATAGTAGTTGCCAAATAAATATCTATCGAGTAAACATACTCTATCACTATTTACGTTGCTCAATATTTCACCTGATTTTTACAATACTCTTCATGAATTATCATTTAAGTCTCAAACCAGTGAAGGAAAATCAAACACTTTTCTGCAGATTCTACAGGGAATCAGTAATAGAGGTCAAACTGGAATTAAAGAATTCCAGTCATCTTTTTATATGACAATGCCAATTCCTCTAACAATCAGATTAAGATAGACTTCCAACAACAAGAAAGAATTGAGTAGGAGCCAGATCCAACTGAGCCAGTAAGTTTTCTCTATCAATATATTAAAATGAAATTTACTAATTTGAATCATGCCAGGAAAAACCAGATTTGGATTTATTTTTCTACCCAAAGATAATTTTGAATTCAAAATAATTAAAGATAAATAACTTACCTCTAAGTAAGACACTTTCAGAGTAAATTCAAAGTCACTTTTCTTATTAATTTCTTTGAAGAGCATTTGTATTACCCTAGGAATGACCCCAACTGTTGGTTCATTCTCTTGCTCTGCAGTGTATGCACCTCCCATTGAATAGGTTTTTCCAGAGCCAGTCTGCCCATAGGCCAGGACAGTTGCATTATATCCTAGCAAAATAGAAGTCACATGCATAGTGTATTCAAACATTTTCATCCAATAAATATAGTCCATTTCTTTCATCAATAACTTGTAACAACATTGAGATTACTCTTGTGACACAGCCTCTTAGAAAACTTAGACATAAAGAAAAGTTCTGTGGGTGCCATGACTTTGCACTATTCAAACCAAAAAAAAAAAAAAAAAAAAACCCTCCAGAATGTGTACCCCCTCTTGATAGCCCTTAAAAGCTAGGAAGTCAAACACTTAAAGATATGACAGAGAGAATAAAGGTGGCCAACCCACTGTCAAAAGCCATTCAGAGCTTTAAAATCGTCTCCCTATCTTTAATTCTAAATTAAGAGCATTAAATAGAAGACTTAGAAGCTGCATAAAAAGATTCTGACATGTATTTCTTTGATTAACAGAGACTCATTTGAAAATGCAACATTGTTTTTTATAGTCAATGAAAACATCTACTTCCTAACTGAACTCTCAGAGTGCCTCTAGACCATAGTATAAGGCTTCTCACAGAAATATCATCATTTAAGTATAATTCAATATGATATACATCCTTTGCTTTTATAGAGGATTGACAGAGAACAATCCATTCAAAAATGTTCACAATATAGTTAACTAAAAAAAAAAAAGCAGCTTAAAATAATTAAGTGTAAAAGTATATATAGGAAAAGATCAAAAGAATATCAATTATTGACATTTGTTGTTTATCTCTGAGTAATAGGGTGGTAAAAATAATTTTTGCAGTTTTCTTTCCTTGTTTGTATTTTCTAAATTATTAAATAGAATGCACTATTGAACAGTGGCTGAATCTTTTGCTGTCACCTATGTTATCAGTACTGTTTGTAGAAAGACCCACAAAGTATATTTCTGTTTGAATTTAGTTCCAGTAAAAATGTTTATTTTATAGATCAGTTTTTATGGTTTTTCTTGTGAGATAATCCAAATTACTAATTACTTATATATTTTCCTTTTATCCCATACATTTAAAGTTTTGACTGAAATTAAAGGCGAACAAATCCAACTACAACTGAAGCAAGATTTTTAAAAGTAACAATTAGATAATAAATGTGCTATTCTTGCTTTAACTTCAATTATTATACAGCCAAGCATCGCATAATAGTATTTCAGTCACATGGACTTCATATATGACCATGATCTCCTAAGATTATAATGGAACTGAAAAATACATATCGTTTAGTGACATAGCCTTCATAGTATAACGCATTACGGATATAGTGTAATGCATTACTCACCTGTTTGTGATGATGCTGGTGTAAACAAATCTTCTTTGCTGCCAGTCATATAAAAGCATACGTACTATGTATAGTACATAATACTTGATAATAATAAAAGACCATGTTGCTGGCTATATATTTACTACACTACACTTTCTATTATTATTTTAGAGTGTACTCCTTCTATTTATTAAAAAAGTTAACTGTAAAATAGCCTTAGGCAGGTTCTTCAGGAGGTATTCCAGAAGGCATTATTATTATTGTAGGAGATGACAGCTCCATGCATGTTACTGCCCCTGAAGATCTTCAGGGACAAGATGTCAAAGGTAGAAGACAGTGATATTGATGCTCCTGGCCCTGTGTAGGTCTTGGCTAACGTGTGTTTGTGTCTTAGTTTTGTTTTTTTGAGTTGGAGTCTCACTCTTGTCACCCAGGCTGGAATGTAGTGGCATGCTCAAGGCTACCCCAGTGTCAACCTGCTGGGCTCAGGCAATCCTTCTCCCTCAGCCCTCTAAGTAGTTGGAACCACAGGCATGTGCTACCCCACCTGGCTAATTTTTTGAGATATATATATATATATATTTTTTTTTTTTTAGTTGGAGTCTCACTCTGTTGCCCAGACTAGAGTGCAGTGGCCACCGCAGCCTCGATCTGCTGGGCTCCGGCGATCCTTCTGCCTCAGCCTTCCAAGTAGCCGGAATTACAGGCATGCGCTACCATGCCCGGCTGATTTTTTGATTAATTGTAGAGATGAGGTCTTGCTGCCCAGGCGGGTCTCGAACCTGTGGGCTCAGGCAATCCACTCACCTCAGCCTCCCAAAGGCGCGGGATTACAGGCTGAGCCACCCAGCCCGGTTTTTTTGATATATTGTAGAGACGAGGGCTCACCAAGTTGCCCAGGCTGGTCTTGAACCCCCAGGGCCAGGCAATCTTCTCGCCTCAGGCTCCCAGAGTGCTGGGATTATAGGCTTGAGCCACCGTGCACAGCCCTGTGCCTTACTTTTTAAGAGAGTTTAAAAAGTAAAAATTTAAAAAATTTAAAAATAGAGGCCAGGTGCAGTGGCTTATGCCTGCAATCCCAGCACTTTGAGAGGCTGAGGCAGGATTGCTTGAGTCCAGGAGTTCGAGACCAACCTAAACAATATAGTGAGACCATGTCTCTACAAAAAAATTAAAAAGTTAGCAGGGCGTGGTGGTACATCCCTGTAGTCCTAGCTACGCGGGAGGCTAAGGCAGAAGGATTGCTTGAGCCCAGGAGATAGAGGCTGTAGTAAGCCAGGATCATGTCACTGCACTTCAGCCTAGATGATAGAGTGGGACCTTTGACTCAAAAATTAAAAATAAGTAAATAGAAAATGGGGAAAAATTATAGAGTAAGGATATAAAGAATGAAAATATTTTTGTACAGCTGTATGTGCTTGTATTTCAAGCTAAATATTATCATAAAGGAGTCAAAGAGCTTTTAAAAAATAAAGTTTATCAAGTAAGAAAGTAACAGGAAGAGAAGATTAGCTTACATTGAAGAGAGAAAAAAATTTTAAATATAGTGTTGCCTAAGTTTACAGTGTTTACAAAGTCTACAGTAGTGTATAGTAATGTCTTAAACCTTCACATTCACTTACCATTCACTCACTGACTCACCTAGAACAACTTCTAGTCCTGCAAGCTCCATTCATATTAAGTGCCCTATACAGGTGTACCATTTTTAAATCTTTCATACTGTGTTTTTACTGTACCTTCTCTATGTTTAGATACACGCTTACTATGGTATTACAATTGCCTACAGTATTTGGTACAGTAACATGCTGTACAGGTTTGAAGCCTAGGAGCAATAGGCTAGACCCTATAGTCTAGGTATGTAGTAAGCTATGCCATCTAGATTTGTGTAAGTATACTCTATGATGTTTACACCATGACAAAATCACCTAACAATGCATTTCTCAGAAATACCCCTGTCATTGATGCATGACTGTAACTTGCTAATTAATTATAGGGTAGTAGCTACTAAAACTGTAAGCATGGCAGCTCGAAAGAACTACAAATCCAACTTTACTTCAAGGTGAAAAAAATATGACCTTAGGGAAGTCTGTCCCTTAATTAGAGTGGTAGATATATTCTAAAGGAACACAACACAAGCTTTCTCTACTAAATGATCATCATATGGATGCCAAAGCTGTTTGTTATCTACTATTTACCAAGATAATTTTGGAGTTTGAAGGAAAAAAACCTTTACATCTTAAAACAATACGGTAAATCTAAATGAAAACTTTGAAGTTCTGAAAAAATTTATTGTTCTAAATGAAAGATCTTAAAATGCTAAGCTGAGATTTTCACTGTAATAGACTATTAGTATCACCTGGCATGACTATGGGGCAAGAGAGTAACATTCCATAATTGTCTGCAATACCACATATGTGTAGATAGCAATAACTTGGGAAATGAGGTTTCAGTTTAGAAAATGATCAGAGCTCTGTAGTACCACGAGTTCAGAGTACAAGAGGGTGCTATTGAGCTAACTATAAAAAAATACTGGCTTTGTTTTTGCAACTGAGGGCAATGTTAATGGAATACATATATATTGAAATCACTTTCTACTTTATATTGCTTTTAAAGACTGTAATTCAATTCCAATAGTTTCCCAACTTAAGAATATAAAAGTAGAACCTATAGTGCTCTTAACAAGTTGTGGCAGTACATTTAGAGGAAGATGACCAGATAGGGAAGGGTCTGAAAATCATATTGTTTCAGAAATGGCTAAAGGAAAGGAGAAATGGCTAATTAAAAGAGAATTAGACAAAACCATTTAGTGGTCTCTTCCAAATATTGTACGTAAAGAATGAAAAAGATTAACTTTATAGTGAAGAAGCCCATCAGATTAACACCTTAATTAAATGATCAAAATGAACATCAGCAGTAATAGAACAAATCAAAATCGTGCTGCCTGATAGAATTCAATGAGAATACATATTCCTGCTAAAAGATACACAATCTGAATCTAATCATAAATAAATATCAGACAAACCAATATTGAGAAACAGTTTACAAAATAACTGGCCCGTAATTTTCAGCGTCAAGATCATAAAAGTCAAAAAAGATTGAAGAACTGTTTTAAAGTGGAGACTAAAGAGACAGCACAACTAAATACAATACATGCTTTTGAATGATATTCTTTTGCTATAAAGTACTTATTGGAACAACTAGTGAAACTTGAATGGGGTTTGAAGATTAGATAGTAGTAATATAGTAATGCACATTTTATGATTTTGATGGTTGTCGTGTGGTAATTTAGGAGATCGCCCTTTATTGTAGGAAATATAGACTAAAATACCCTGGGGGCATCAAGTCAACAATTCATCTCAATGGTTCAGGAAAAAAAGTTATTTATACTATTTTTGCAACATTTCCACACATGAGATTATGCCATTAATATTTAAAAATTGTGAAGAAAAATGTTCAATTTGCCTTAAGCCATGATATCATTTTTAAAAAGGTGAAAAAACCATATATGAATAGCTGTTGCCTTCAAGAAGACTTTTGTTTGTCAAGAGGAATGAACTAACATCATTGGGTAGAAATAACCAGGAAGCAAATTTCATCTCAATATAAATGTATTTATAACATAATTAGAGTTGTCAAAAAAAAAAAAAAAAACCAACAAATATCAGTTGGACTACCTGTGAGTTCCCTGTCAAAGAAAAAATGTTAGCCAGACACTGGAAGGTCGCCTTACAGGGATATTGTATTTTTCTTACAGAGGTAAAGCATTTTTCTTTGGATGAAAAGTTTAAACTAGATGATGTACAAATATCCCTTTCAACTGTAAGGCACTAGTATGTCATGATTCTATTTATTTTAAATTAACCTCTGGTTTGAATCTTGCCACAGTACTAGAATAACAATTAGACATCTCTCAGGCATTACTCCCTTTGTTAGAATCCTGCCATGGTCTTCAACAGCATTAAAGCCTTAGCTTCTGCAATAAAGATTATTAACTCGCCATAGCACTCAGGGGCTTTAGGAAATGCCTTTCTCTACCTAAAAGAATTATATTCATCATTTAAGTCCTATATCAAAGGTTCCCTATTCTGTGCAATTCACCCCAAATTCCCCAGGCAAAGTTAGTGCCATACTTTTGTTTTTCATATCACCTTGTGTGAGAGCAGTGTTACTTCTATAGCAGGACTAACTCCGTTGCATATTTCTAACTTATACTTTTTCTTAAAGTTAAGTGCAAAAAATTTAAAAATGCTTATGTATTCAAAATTACTTATGTAGTCATCTATCTCCACTCCTACCCCCAGAACTTTTTTAACTCCTTCAGGACCTGGTAGCTATATTATTTATCTCTGAATCCCTCTACAAGGCTTGCAGTGCCTGGGCCTCAAGTAGGTTGGCACACTGATCACCATCAGAACCCATGAAAGAGGTTATAATGTAATGAGTTTCCAGGACGAACAAAAATATATTCAGGTCAAAGATGAACATAACTGCAGAAAGCAAATACAGTATAAAACTAGTTTCAAGGATATAGAATCTTTCACAAATGTTATTAGACTGGGGTCTTTTTGAAGGCAAGAATGTTCCACCCATTCCTGTATGTGAAGGCCAAGCACAGTTACTGGCACACAGTATATACTCAAGAAACATTCGACGAATTAAATAGTCTCACCTTTAAATACGCCTTTTATGAGTGGTGCTACTGCTGTATTGAAGACTTCTTCCTGTTCAGTAGAGGGGTCAAACACAAAATCGTAGGTAAAGGACTTATCAGTACCAACCACCACCTGGAGAGGGTAAGGGACAAGGTGTAAGAAAAAAAATGAAAGGCTAGACCACACCCCTCACTGCCATTTGGCCCCAGTTGTTCAGACATAGGCCCTGAACTCTGCTACGCACCTGAGGCTCCCCGGGCACGAAAGAAAGGCACATCTGGCAGCCCTCGCTAATCTCTTTGGGAACCAGAGGGCGACAACGCAGTGCCACTCTTACAGGAATTCCCTTCACCTCTTCCTTCATGATCCTACTTCAGCACCGTCTCTGCGGGGGGGGGGGGGGAAAGAGGCTTGCTGATGAATCTTGGTAGGTGGCGGGGAGGGAGGGCGTCTTCCTGAGTTCTGGCCCTCAGAAAGTGGGGTGGGTTACGGAACTAAGCCGTGCCGGCGGCAGCCTCCCCTACCAACGGGATCGCTGCCGCAGAAGATTCACTCTCCTTCAGACTTGGCCACGACGGGACTGCCCGTCAGCCCAAACATTCTGAAGACACTGAAGTGGCGTCTGGAATGAAAAGCAAAAAGACCAACGGGGACGGCGACAAAGAACCAAAGCCCTAGAGTACCGGGAAAAACAGATTCTGAGCTAACCTATGCCCCCATAACTCACCAAACTATACGTCCCTTCCCAGTTCCTCCCCGTCTCGCGTCGCAGGGTCCCAACTGGAGCTTTAACCGCCAAGTTTCAAATCAGTCCCGCAGACGCCAGCCAATTGGAGCGCAGACGGGCAGCGGGCGGAGCGCGCATGTTGGCGCGCGCAGTAAAGGGGAGGGCCTGCTCGCCGAACCCCGGTCCCGCCCCTTTCCGACCCAACCAAGCATCCGCTTCCGGTTACCAGGCTGGATTGGCGGCGAGCGGAGTCCGAGGTGGCTGAGACTTGCCCACCTGTGAGTTGGTATGGCGTGTAAGCGGTCATGAGCGCAGGATTCAGACAGGATGCGGGGCGGGGATCTGGAAGGTGGCTGGTGGTGAAGGAGGGGTTGATCAGGGGACCCCACCATTACTAGTCACATCTAGGGAATGTGGGGCGGCGCCTTGCCCTGAGTCCCGGTGGATAGTTGGAGTCAGCACTTCTTGGGCTTCGGAAGTCGATCTTTTTAAACGCGACCCAGGTTTCCTCTTTTCCAGCGATTTTAACACTGTAACATCTATTTTGCAGGATTGTTGTGAGAAATGAGATCATCTTTCTATAGTACCCTAGCAGGTTACTTGGCATCCAGAAGATGTTTAGCAAAGTTAATAGTTTTCTTCCGTCTTTTTTCTTCTTTCTCTCCTCCAATTAACACTTAGATGTGGCCTAGGCCCGTAGACTGACACCTTTAGAATGAGTAGGAGCTGCATTTGTAAACTTTCTGGGCTGCTGTCTTTTTGAACCACTTAATGTCCCCTTTGATTCACTCTTCCATTCCAGGGCCTTCTTCGAGATGGACAGCCGGATTCCATATGATGACTACCCGGTGGTTTTTCTGCCTGCCTATGAGAATCCCCCAGCGTGGATTCCTCCTCATGAGGTGGGAATTATCTGTATTCCTGAGTAGGGGATTTTTTTCCCCCCGGGCATGAGAGGATATATGAAAGGTAGGATGGCAGGGTTAGAAAACTAAATAGAGAGTGCATCTTAGCCCTTGTTGTAATTAGAAACTGGATTCTGAGCAGCAGGGTCCATTGGGAACTTCTTTATGGAAGCCTCCTGCCAGGGTCCATTCACACCAGTGAATTATGGAAATTCAGAACCTTAGTTTCCGTTCTGTCAAGAATGAAAGTGGGAGCTACTAGGCTGCTAGCATGTCCCAGTGGTATCTGTTCCGCTTAAACTAAGTCTATGACTTTACCTTTCCCTGACTTCAGGGTGATGCATTAGTGTTCCAGATGAAGATAGTTGTGAAGTCTGAGGCTGGTAGTAAAATGTCTGGGGTTGCTGTGTCTTGCAGAGAGTATACCACCCAGACTACAACAATGAGTTGACCCAGTTTCTGCCCCGAATTGTCACACTGAAGAAGCCTCCTGGAGCTCAGGTGAACTTATGGAGCCTCTTATTGTGGGCTAGATTTGCCCATACCAGAAGTTGGCAATGGTTGGGGGAATGGATTGGGAAGCAGGTGAGGGTGTGAGGAAACTTTTCTTGTGGGTAGAAAAGCTAAGCTATCACTTCTACAACTTCTGACTTCTCTCTGAGGGACACACAAGCTGAGCTACTGTATGGTGATGTTACTAGATGTTCTTGTGTTTGTGGTCTCTGTTGAGCCCCCATTCTGTGCTCTTGTCTTACAGTTGGGATTTAACATTCGAGGAGGAAAGGCCTCCCAGCTAGGCATTTTCATTTCCAAGGTGCGTGTGCCTAGTAGGCAATATGGATAGCTACTTCTCTTTGTTAAATTATCAGATTACAGAACCCTAATGTCCATGAGGCTGAGAGAAGGATGACTTGGTTGGTGGACTCATAGGATGGGTATATTGGGGACACCCCTTTTCCCATTTAAAACTTTCCATTTGGCAAGCCGTCTGTCTCCCTACATTGTCACAGAAGAACAATAGCACCTTACATTTGAATAGCACTGAATTTCACTTATAGTCTTCTGCATTACTGCATCCCAATCATGGGTATTCTCTCCTTTCTGACAGGTTATTCCTGACTCTGATGCACATAGAGCAGGACTTCAAGAAGGGGACCAAGTTCTAGCTGTAAATGATGTGGATTTCCAAGATATTGAGCATAGCAAGGTGAGCACAGCACTTGTACTGTTGTGCTCAAGAAGCCAAATAGGACAGGTCAGACAGTATTAGCCTAATCTGTAACTTGATAAGAAAGCATTCTGCTGGGACCTGTGGCACACACCCTAATCCCAGCTACTTGGGAGGTTGAGATGGAGGGATTACTTGAGCTCAGGAGTTCAAGACTACCCTAAGCAACATACCAAGACTCCATCTCCCAAAAACAAAAAGAGAGAACATCTCTCCTGGGGAAGTGTACCAGAGGGGAGCAGCTATTAGTGACTCAGAAGGTTGCAGTGGCAAATCCCTTCCCTTCTGTTATGATTCTATCCTGGGTTATGTCTCTTCATTTGTACAAGCTGCTTTGTTCCTTCCAGGCTGTTGAGATCCTGAAGACAGCCCGTGAAATCAGCATGCGTGTCCGCTTCTTTCCTTACAGTAAGTACAACTTTCTTTTGTTCTTACCTGGCAGGGCCCTAGGAACTCTTTAAATACTGATGAGTAAAAGCCCTACAAGTTGGGGATGGGGAATTGGAAGCTCAAACCTAAAAATATTCTATTCTGTTCCTCTTTTTCTTATTTTTTCCCTCAGATTATCATCGCCAAAAAGAGAGGACTGTGCACTAGAGAGTTGCAGCCCATAGCCCTTCATGAGGATGCTGCCAGAACTGGCTGGCTAGGCTTCAGGGAAGCCACTTCTTTCAACCTCTCCCTGATGTCGTGGAGTGGGGAGGATGGGGAGGCAGCTAGCCAACTGCATTACCCAAATTATACTGTACCTCTAGTTCCCTAGTTTTCTAGGGGAGTTTCATTCCCTGAAAGAAGAAGGATGATGCTGTCTAGGTATAAACTAGCTTGTGGGGAACCCAGTTGGAAAAGGTAACTGACATTTATTGAATACCATGTGCTAGTCCTTTACACATGTCGTATCACTTTAATTATAGAAATCAGTAGAAAAAAGAATCTTGGGGATCTTCCGTCTCATTTGCCAGGACGTCTCATCCCATCCTTGTACTACCAGAGGTTTCATACACTTTGAGACTCCATTGAGACCCTGTTTTCACCCCCTTTCTACTTCTATTCTCTTCCCCCAAAAGTAAAACACAATTCTGAAGAAATGTTGGTGTGAATGATACTGATTGGATATAAAATGCTATTGAGGCAAGAAAAAGCTTCTAAAGAGAGGAGCCACCAGGATGAACAGAGTAACACTATACCAACCTTACAACTATCTATATCTGACCAGAACATTAGGGAGACCCAGAAACCTTAGCTATAGCATAACCAAGGGTAAGGGGTACTGGAAGAAACAATGTCCCTTCCTCTAGGAGCTTTGAATGTTTGTCTGCAGAGGAAAGTATTAACATAATTCTCCTTTCCCAGATTCTTTGATCTGGAATATAAACCAAGGAAGAGGCTTAGATGCATTTCTTTTTTGAGGCAGCAGTAAGAAATTTGTTCCAAATTTCTAACTTGGAGGTTGATTAGTACTAATTGCTAATTTTCCCCTTTTCTCCCCTAGCCTCAAATAACCTTCTGCCATGTTTTTAGATTTTTAGCTATCAATCTAAGTTAGAGATTTTAGGTCACATCTATACCATCTCCACTGACATGTTCAAAGTACCCTAGTGTGGTATGGGGTGAAGTGCTCCTATAATCAAGGCCCAAAATTTGCCTTGAAAGAATACTGGGGACCTTAAAAATATATTTCCAGACCCTTACTCTGGATGGTGATTTCTGCTGGTCTGAGGTGGAGCCTGGAAATATGGATGTTTAAATAAGCAAAGTATATAAGTCTTCAAATATGGAAAGCGTTCTAAACAGTAGGATGTCTCGTTGAGGAAATTCTGGTTCTTCCTATATATCCCACCCCAGCTCTTCTAGAGGCTCATTGCTATTGTTAGGTGGCAACATACCTTGAGAGCAAAGCTGGAAGTAGAATTAATTTAGTTGTCTCTATACGTCCTGGGAAATCCCCTCCTATTCTATGCTTCTGTTTGCTCTGCTGCCACCCAATGGTCAACTGAGAAAGAAAATAGAGGCTTAAATACTTCCATAAAGACACTATTGAAGGTTGAGGTTCAAGACTCTTCCTGTGGTTAACAGGTTTTAAAACAACTCATCTAAGAAGTATGATAAACATGGCAAAATTTAAAAAATCCCAGCCAGGTGCCATAGGCCTAAGAGGCAGAAACTCCCTGTCCTAAATTAGTTCTCACTTCCAGCTACTTGGAGTAGTTCTGTGTTATGGCACCAACAGGCAAATTGCATTGTGGAAGTACAGGTATAGTGTGGAGAATGCGCAAGCAATAATAGCTTGAGTTAAAGGACCAGTCATTTATTGAAGGCGTAGGTAAGAAAACAGTGGAGAATAAATTGTATTGGCCTTTGAGGTATCTCAGCTGCTGCAGAACTGCATTCTGTGCAGATGTCTTTTAGCTGTCAGAGAAGGTTAGTTGGAATTCCCAGTTACTGCAAGAAGCTTCTACCCAGTAGCTGTTAGATGCAGTCAAGAAAAAAAAAATGATAGCACTTTCAGGGGTTCTGTTTTACTCCTGAAGCCAGGAATTGGAAGAGAGTAAGTGGTCAAGTATTAAAACCATAATCCTTGGGGTGGAGGAAAAGGACTGGTATGTAAAGCCCAAATGCAATAAATGCATCAAATTAGGCAAAGAGACTGCCTAAGCTATTAACAGGAACAATGATTTTTGATGCCTGACTCCCCAAAGGACTCCAGTTGAATTTCAACCACTGAAGTGTGTGTTAAGGAAGGTAATAGAGTGAAGTGAAAAGCCAAATTTCAACTCCCAGGGAAAGCTTATAGGAGACACAGCAGAGAAAATCTGATCTTGATTACCCTCACCTGAAGGCAAACCAAGGAACTACTGTGGGCTAAATTTTGTTCCATTTTCTCTTAAATGCCACTCAGGCAGAAAAATTGGCCTGGCCATCAACTCAACAAAGGAAGGTTGTCTTCTCTGCTTATACACTCCCTATGCCAGCAAAGCTGGTAGAAAGGATACTCCTCTTTCAGTGGAGGTGAAGTACATGACGAAGGAAGGGCAGAAGCCACGCGTCGAAATAGCTGTGTGTATGAATAGCAACAAAATGAAAAGGTCAGGTTCAGTGGCCGAGATGATTCAGGGCTTTTAGGCTGTATGATGGGAAGATGAACCTTGCCCCCATCCCATGAAGGACAAGCCAAGGTTATCTGAAAGAGTAAGCAGTGGTGGGTAGCTAGAGACAGAGTAAGTGAAAGTATAAAGAAATGAGTATTACATTTTTCACGTTGTAACCAGTTTTCGCGCTGGTCTCAATAAACATCACGCTGAGGTGTCTAGATTTTTCTTCTCCTTCCTCTGCAGAGACTTGTCTAGACAAATCAGAAATGATGAAAGGGACTAGATGGTGGTAACCTAGAGTTAGTAGATAGGGATCAGTTCTGTGGTATAAGGATGCTTCCCTAGGGCCAGGAATACTAGAAGACTTGCACCCGACATTTCTGATCCCTGACACTGGTAACTCCTCCCCATGTAAATAGGGCATAGTAGACCCTCCCCATAGAGATTGAACTCTAGGTATGCTAGGAGAAATTATAACTTACCTTTTGTTGTTCAGATCAATCTTGTTACCCACCAACATTATGACAACATTGTCACCTCTTTCTGCCCGTACATCTTCTACCCACTTATCTGTTTTCTTAAAAGAATTGATGTCTGCAAGAGAATATGTTGCAAAGGGTTGAAAAATTTAGGGGTTTGGGTCTTTTTTGTGTGTGTGTGTACCTGTCCTTGGCTAGTTTTACCAGCCTCTCTATCACTTCCTTTATAATCCCCTTTTCAAATAAAATATTGCATAACACCCACTTGTGATGTCATAGACAACCACTGCAATAGTTGAATCACGAATGTAGCTAGGAATTAGGCTGTGAAAGCGCTCCTGGCCAGCTGTGTCCCATAGCTGCAGTCGAACCTGCATAAAACAAATGGGAAGAAGATGAAAGGTAGGAAACAACTTAGCCTTTTAGAAGCTAGAAACTAATGAAGGCAGAGTGTAGAGTCAGAGACACTGGATCCCTTTAAAGTGCCTGGTATGGCCTCAAACCTAGTGGCTTGCAGCCCTAGGACAGGTCCAACCAATATCAATATATCATTTTGATTAAGGAAGACCCTGTAGAACAGCAGATTTCAAGATTCAAGACCTTTTGTGCTATATATTACAGTTGGAGATTAGATGAGGGCAGAGAGAACAAAAAACATCATAGGTGGGGCTCGGTGGCTCAGCCTGTAATCCCAACACTTTGGGAGGCTGAGGTGGGTGGATTGCCTGAGCCCACGGGTTCGAGACCTGCCTGGGCAACTTGGCGAGACCTCATCCTACGATAAAATTAGCCGGGCGTGGTAGCGCATGCCTGTAGTTCCGGCTGTGTGGAAGGCTGAGGTGGAAGGATCACTGGAGCCCAGCAGGTTCACGCTGGGGTGGCTGTGAGTGTGTCACTGCACTCCAGCCTGGGCGACAGAATGAGACTCTAACGAAAAAAAAAAAAAAAAATCACAGGGCTTGGTAATTTGAGAAGGCTTCAGTTTTTTATTCTCTTTTGTCCACAAGTGATGTGGGGTGGTGCTACCCTACTGTGATGAATAGGCCCAAGGGGTTGAGGTTTACGGTTAGTAGTGTGAAAGTACTTACTATTCGGTCCTCCAAGTACATGGTCTTAGACAGGAAGTCAATTCCAACGGTTGCCTGCAAAAGAAAGTCAGATACTGTCTTCTGAATCAACCCGTCATTCCCAATATTAGGCAGTCTTACAAAAGAAAGTGGCGAATGGCCCTTTAGGAGGCTGTCTCTGCTTCCCAAGGCATAACTTTGAGGAATAGAATCCCCAGGTGTGCCAGCCAAGGGAGGGGCAAAAATGGACCGTGTTACTCCTTGGTGATGGGCTCACCTGGCCGGTGCAGTTGAAGCTGTCGTACATAAAGCGGGTGATGATCGACGTCTTCCCTACTGTGAGGGAGATAAGCAGGCCAGTAGGCGCCTGGGCGCCCTTTCTCCCCTCAAACTTTCTATGAACTCTTCCCGCCCCCCACATACACTCCACACTTTCCCAATGACTCGATTCCCTAGAAAGTGCCCCAAACCACACCTTCCTATCCCCAAAGCCCAACCCAGACCCGCACCGCTTCGCTCTCCCAGGAATACGAGTTTGGATTGGCGCAGAGACTGGTATTCTGGTCCCTCGTTGGCCTCTAGGCGAAAGCCTCCAGTTTCGCTGAGGGTCTTGTGAGGACCGAAGGCATACATCGCGGCAGGTGAACAATGAGCAACGCTGGCTTCAGTCTCGGCCCTTCGCCATTTGACGTCACTCGGCGCTCTACCCAACGGCTGCACGCACGACGGTCGGCTTCGCACCCCGACCTAGGCGCGGCCACGCCCCCCCCACTTCCGGCGGCTCCCGGGGCGCCTCATGCTCTAAGCAGTCCCGCTACTGTTGGTAGTGGGATCATGTGGTGGGGGCGGGCGTGGGCCGGGCCTGAGAGAAGCTGAAGGCCTACAGAGGGCAGGTGACTGTGTCAGAGGGAAAAGCACTTGCCAAGGATAACCTAATCACGGTGGGGGTATGGGGGCAGGGAAGACCGTTCTTAGTGGTTCCATTACCCTCCACGCGGAGGAAATATCAAAGAGATCGCCAAGCACATCTGTACAAGCCGATTTATTAGAGCGTTACAGTGGGAGTTCCCACACAAAGGGGCACCAGAGCAAGGCGATCAGCTCCTCTCCTCTCCCTCCGCCTCCACACCTTTCTGGCTGTCTTCCTCGCCTTGCTCCTGCCGCGCAAATTCCTCGATGACTATATCCTCAGAGCTTGCAGAAGCAGCAGAAGAGAATGGAAAGTTACGAACACCTTTCGGGCCATCCTCCATTTTCACACTTTCTGATCCCAAAAAAGTTATCTCTGCCCTCCTTCCCACATAGGCTCCTCGGTCCACTCTCAGTAGCTTCCCCTGCCTTACTCCCCTCCCCCCACCCACCATCAACCACTCTGGTTTTTGTCTTTCCTTTCCACTCAAATTTACTGGCACAAAAGTCCCCCAGGAGCACTGGAAGGAAAATAAAAATGGAGGATGGGAAGGGTTCGAAGGATGAAAAATGGAAGAAGGCGAGGGGGTGCAGGGAAAGGAAAAAAAATGGAAGGGACAAGAGGAAACAATGATTCTTGAGGAGCAGGGTGGCAGGTGGCGGTGCAGAAAAACAAAACAGAGCATATAAAAAGCACTGAACTGTGACACGAAGCTAAACCACATGTTTCCACTGCACACGCATTGACGGCAACACCCGGGGAAGCTTTTTTACATTTCCACCGTCATAAAATGGAGGGTGGCGATGGGGATAGGGGGAATGAGGCTTCAGGTCTCAGATTCCATTACCTAGTGGCCTCTGTAGCAAGCATGGAGAAGGAGGAAAAATAGAGCTAAAGCTAATTAGGGGCTCTTTAGTTCCCTGAAGAAGTGTCTTCACTCTTCCCCCTCCCTTTCCAGCCCTTTCCCTCTGGTACACACACTTCCCCTGAAAACTCAGCCTGCCTATTGCTATTCCATCTCTACCCAAACTGCTAGTCTCCAATTCATGAGAGCAGTACTGCGTGGCCCCCAACCCTTAGGACAGCCGTGCTTGTGAGTCCCATCTGGTCACTCACCATGAGAAGGCTTTGGATGGATCAGGATCAGGGGCAGCTCCACACCAACATCACTACAAGGATCCCAAGGTGGAGGTTCAGGGATTGGGGCTTTTGGGAAGATCAAGCCCAGTCCGTGAATTTCCCTCCTGCAGTTTTCCAGTCCTCAGATGCCCACAAACTCTTCCTAGTCATTATTTTGGTCTCTTTATCCCCTTATCCACATCTTCTTGCCTCAGTTTTCCCACCCCACAGTCTCTCACCTGGCTGTCAGGTCTCCTAGGATGCTGTGGGTAGAATAAAATCCAAAATTAGCAACTGGAAATGGAGAAGAGGCAACCTGGTTTTACTGGGGGATGAGGAATCATAAGGCCAACTTGGACACAGAATGGGTTTCTAGAAGGGAAAGTGGCTTGCTCACTGAGTTCACAGTTTTGAGAACCTGGTCTGACAGAAGGGGTGGAGAACAGCTTGATTGGCCAGTCTAACTGGGAGAAAAACAGAAGTGAGAAAAACCCTCGGTTACCCAGCCCCTTCCCAGACAGACCTTGAATCCTCACTCACCCCCCACAGGACACCAACAGGTTGACTCTGATTTTGTAGGACACCAGGATCCCCAGCAGCTCTTTGTCCATTCCAGATCGAAGACTGGATGTATTAGTATTCATTTTTGTGTGTTTGGGGACATGAGAAATAATCCATTCAGTCCACAGTTTCTTTCCACACATTCCTATCACCACGCCCTATTACTCTTTGTTTTCTCCCTGAAGATCTCCCAGGTTCTAATCTCTCCTACCATCGAGACCACATTTCTCTTCCTAAAATTCAGTTTTACCATGTCATCCTTTGCCTTACTTTCAAGACCCTTAACAACCTGGCACCATCTAGCCTCTCTAACCTTTCTGCCCTAATTTCCTGACACCTGGGATAAAACCTAAGGAGACATATCCTCTCTCCTTGATTACAACATGCCATATGGATTCCCACTTTCTAAGCCTTTGCCTGTGCTGTGTTTCCAGTCTGGAACGTTCCTCTGTTGGTATCCAGATCCTTCACATTCTTCAAAATCTAGCTCAAATTCTATCTCCTCCAGGAAGTCCTGGCCAGCTATGCTGGCTTCTTTAAACTTCTGTGTACGTATAATCTGAATCACATGAGCTAACATTTAACTGTTAGATTATATTTGCATATTTCTTTGTTCCTCATCTAAGCCATAAATTGACTGAAGGCAGAGACTGTCTTAAACTTCTTTCTGTCCCCCCACATTGCTTTGCATAGAAATGAACATGTAACAGGTGCTCAATTAAAACCCACTGATTGATAAACAAGACATTGGAAGCTGTATGAGTTTGAAAAAAATCTCTTCATTGCTCTGAGCCACTGATCCCCTATATGTCAAATAATGATGTTTGGATGATTTCTAAGGGTATTTCTAGCAGTAACAGTCTATGGCTACCTGACTGATAAGGAATGGGGAGAGGAAAGGGATTAACGCTTGTCAGAGGGTGGCAAATAGTTTTTGGTGGGAGACACGTGTAACACTACGGCCTTGGAAGGCATAGGACCCAATGAATGACTTCATAGAATTCTATTGATTCCTATCATATCATTCTCTTTTTTGTCCTCCTTTTCCTTCATTTCTCATCTCCTAGTCTTCTCTTTCATTTCCATCTTCTTTAGAGACTAGCTACTGTGAACATCACAGTGTTTACAACCAGATTACATATAATAAAATCCTGTCCACCTCTGCCACCTGTTTGCTGTACAAACTTGGGCAAGTTCCTTCTCTCTGAGCCTCAGAGTCCTCAATTATAAAATGAAATAAGAACACCAATCTGGCCTACTTCCTGATTCTCAGGAAGGTAACATAAGATATATGTAGGACCTTAGTGAATTGCGGAATATTATACAACATAAGAATTTTTTTTCCTCTCCACATTTCTCTTTCTTGCTGCCTCTTACCTAAGCCTGCCATTGGTCCCAAGGACGTTGTTTAGCTTGCTGCTGGCCCTCAGACTTGGAGGAGTTTCTGAACATTGGCCTACAGACATTTTAAACAGGTAGGCCTCACTGAAGATGAAACCTGAAACTGTATATGTATATAGCATGTGGAATGGGTTATGGGTAGGAAATGAAGGATGAGAGTTACATTTGAGCTTACATCGTGCTAGAGGCCAGGTTGGTATCTTCATGCTTGATTTTGCCATCCAGTGCCAGGCCCCGTTTCTGGCAACTGGCAGCCAGGAGTGGGGTTACTGCAAAGCTCTGGGAGAAGTTGGAGTTGGCAGCTACAGTCTCCCTTTGAAAGGAGAATTAAAGAAGAATTTAGGCTAGGCTTGTCAACTAAATGTATTTTCACTCACAAGAGTCTCTTGCACAATCTCAAGAACCTACTGGAGTATCCAAGAGAGTTGACATACCTAACTGTGAAGAGCAGAAGGAATGCGCTCTGGTGGGAATCCTCATGTCCCTGCCCTTGCTCAGCATTATGATGGTCCCACAGTGGGTAAGTTGTGTCCTCTCTCTAATTCTCCTGGGAATTCCTCCTTTTTTCCCACTTCTGTGCTTACCCAGACCTTCCCCATTCCTGAACTCTTCCCTCCCTTTCTTTTTTCCCCAACCCTCTGACCCCAGCCCCAGCTCACGTGAATTCCTGAATGAACACAGTCTTGGTGTACTTGTCTAGTGAATACAGGACAACATCTGTGATCTGGTCAACTAAACAAGCCAGGAAAAGCACATGATTATAATCAGTCAGTTGAGACACCCTAGCTTACTGCCTTTAGATGTGACTTTTATACATAGGATGCAGTAAGATGTGCTCATGGACAAATGAAGATATTCATTTTGACAAACCTGTGTTGGAGGGAAAGCCTAGATGAATGCAGACAGGTAAGTGGGGCAAAGTTTTGGAAGAAGACCTTGGAGACTAGGTAGAGGGGGAGGGGAAAAGAAACTCACCTGAAATCTTGATTTTTTTGATGACCTTGTTGGTGCAGTTGTTGACAGAAACATTGACAGAGATGGGTTCGCCGTGGTAGTGAACCTAAAGCAGGAGGAGAGGCCCATAACAAGGTTGGAGGAAGAATGCCCAGACCAAGACCTAGAATTTGTTTCCTTTGAACTGTTGCCACCCTGGTTCCCATTTCTGCCTGCCCAAGTAGGAAATCAGTGAAGAAAAAGTATCAGAGAAATTCTGGGGTAAGGATAGGAAGTGGGGGCTACAAACCTCCCTGTCCATCCAGGCCTGGAGTTGTAGGGGCTGAGCCGACAGAAGGAAGCGGCGGGTGGTCTGGGCTGAGGGGCCAGGGCCTGGCTCTGGTGGTGCAAACTGTACTTTCCGAACAACCAGCCGCACATAGTCTCTAAGCAGAGACCAAGGGGTTAGCCAGAATGTCTCCTTTGGAACCCATAGACCGCCCCATGCCATCCTCATAGCTCAGTCCTTGCTTGGGAGTGGGCGCAGAGGAAAGCCTCTCTCAGAGAACTCCTCTAGACCTTTAAAGTAGGTATCTAGACTCAAGACTGGTAAACTATGGTCCATTGGCCAAATCTGGCTTATCACCTGTTTTTGTATGGCCCATGAGCTAATAATGATTATTACATTTGTAAATGATTGAAATAAATCAAAGAAAAATAATATTTTATGATATGAGGATATTATATAAAATTCAAATTTCAGTGTCCATAAAGTTTTATTGGGACACAGCCATGCTCATTCATTTTTGCACTATCATCTGTGACAATTTTTGCACTATAATGACTGAGTTGAGTAGTTGCAGCAGGGACTACATGGTTCACAAAACCTAAATATTTATTTTTTGGCCCTTTACAGAAGAGTTGGCCGACCCCCTTCCCTAGAGAAAGAAGATAAATCAGAGGGGACTCAGAACTGCGTATCATTGGTGGTGACAGTGCTATGGAGGTTAGCCATTTCTGTCATGAAAGAAGTGTATGTTTCCTGGCAAAGACTGGAGGCAGAGATTTGGAGGACCAAAGAATACCTCTTGGAGATTTTCTCCTCCAGATTTTCAGCACAGAAACTCTTCACTTCAAAGTCAATCCCACAGGCCTATAAAGGGACAGGGCAAAGAGAATTCATTTCTAATGCTGTTCTCCCTTCCACATGGGCCTATAAGAAAATGCCTTACTTCATCCCTTAGCTGTCCATTTCTCCAGTCTTGTTCATTTATCCCACTGTTCTTTTTCACTGGCACTACCATCTATTCCTTTCTCAGAACCCAGGCCTCACCTTTCCTGCATCTTCAGGACCTGGTTGCAGTGTCACTGAACAGGGCAGGTTGGTCACCATCTAGAAGACCAAAAAGACATCAGTGAACAGAAGAAATAGGGCTCCCTCTCCCCTGTTCTCCTGCTTTAGCTTCTGCTCTTAATCTTCCCTTGAACCCTTGCCCAGGACTTGGGAACAGTACCTGTAGTGTAAAGGGATAGGCATTGTCCCCTAGTTTGTGCAGTAGTCGCTCCTGTAGGACTGTGAGGGGCCCCTGGGGGCTGGTGGCTTCAACTGGGACCAGTTGCTGAGCCTGTACATACAGATCTTTGCGGAATGTCAGACCAATCACATCCAAGTCATCACGGCCATAGCGAAAGGCACATGTCAACACGACAAACACTGTAGACAAAGGAGGAAGAGAGTGACCTGTCAAGCCTGAGTGGGAAAGATCTTAACTAGGTCATGGGAAGACATGGAGAGGTGATGTAATATGATCACAAGACTATGGCCATAAAGAAAAAGATTACTACATTTGACAGCAGTAAAATTTAAAACTTCTTCATGTTAAAAGTCTTTATAAATAAAGAAAAAAAGGAAAACCTGGGAGAAAACATTTGCAACACATATAACAAACAAAAGTTTGGCATCCAAAATATATAAGCACTCCCACACACCAGTAATAATAATATACCAATATAAAAACCTGCAAAGAACATGAATAAGTCCTTTGCAGAAGCTCGAGATGGAATGGCCAATAGCATATGAAAACATATTTAGTCTCACTAGTAATCAAATAAATGCAAATTGAAACCACAATGAGATGGCATTTCACACCCATCAGATTGACAACAATTTTAAAGTCTGACAATACTAAGTGTTGGTGAAGTTGTGGAGCAATGGGAATTCTTATATACTGTTCATGGGAATATACATTAATACAACCACTTTGGAAAACTGTTTGGCACTGTCTAGTAAAATTGAATCTGCTCATATGACCTAATAATTCTACTACTTTAGAGGAGATTTTGCTCATGTTTACAAGGAGATACATATGAGAATGTCTATTGTATCAATGTTTGTCAGAACATAAAACTGGAGATAATCTAAACATCTATTGGGAGAATGCGTAAAAAATCTGTGGTATATTCATATAATGGAATGCTAAGCTAAGGTTAAAATAAATGAGCTAAAGTTTCATGTAATGCTATGGTTTGAATGTGTCTTCTGCATAATTCATGTGTTGAAACTTAACGGCCATTGTGATAATATTAAGATGGCCTTTAAGAGATGATTAGGTCATGAGAGCTTCTTTCCTCATGAATCCCTCCATGAATGGGATTAAGACCCTTGTAAAAGCAACCCTTTGCCCTTTCACCTTCCATGGTGTGAGGACACAGAACTATTCCCCACTGGAGAACGCAGCAACAAGGCACCATTTTGGAAGCAGAGAGCAGTCCTCACCAGACAACTGAATCTGCTGACACTTTGTTCTTGGACTTCCCAGTCTCCAGAAATGTGAGAAAATAAATTTCTGTTCTTTATAGATTACACAGTCTCAGTTATTTTGTAAAGCAGCACAAACAGACTAAGACATGTATTAACATGGTTAAATCTTAAAAACGATTGAATAAAAAACTAACTGCAGAATGATATGCACAGTTGTTGCCATTCATATGAAGTTTAAAAGCATGTAGAACAATATCAAAATTGATCACAGATACATAAATATGGAGTAGAAATATAGAACCATGATGGGAAGGATAAACACCAAATTCAGGATAGTGGTTAACTGGGAGGGGGGAAAAACAGAGGAGGGAGGGAGCAAGGTAAATGTGATCAGTGAAGGACACACAGGAGACTTTAGTTTGTTTCTGTAATTCTTTTTAAAGCTTAGTGGTGGGTGCAAGGTATTCATAATACAATTTTCTATGCCTGAAATACTTTATAATGAAAAAGAGAGACAATAAGATTTAGGGTTAGAATACCTGGACTTGGATAGGACTTGTGCAAATCTCTTGAGTTATCTGGGTCTCAGTTATTTCACATGTCAATTGTAGGATTGCACTAGTGGCTCTACACATGTTATTTAAACCTCACAATAGCCCTCTAGAGTATTATTACCTCCGTTTTACAGGTAAAGAAATGAGCTCAGAGCAGTTAAATAATGGCTCAGAATTTCAACTCAGTCCTATCTGACTCCAAAGCCCATACACATGGGTGCCCAACTTAACTCATAGGATGGTTGTGAGAAGTTGGTGTATAAGAAATTCCTTTGGAAACTGCAAAGTAATTGTAGATGTGAATGATGATGATGAAGGGAATATTGGCAGAACTCATACTTTGCAGCTGGTACCTAAGATTTGAGGCAGATATCCTCTGAAATGCACTAATGGAGTGAAGGATGGAGTAGAGAGGGATACCTGTCCTAGTACAAAGTGACAGAGATTGAGGAAGGAAAGATGTAGAACAGGGGTGGGTAACTTTATTTCTATCAGGGTCTTTGACTCAAAGAAAAGAAAACTACCTACAGTCACACATGAGTAGAAAGCCACTTATTTTTGTATTTTTAAGAAGCCCCAAACATCGAACACCAGATTATTTGCTTTGAAAGTTACGAATGAGGAAAATGAATCTATAGTCAAAAGATACAACAAAGAGTGAACGCAATGATAATATCAGTGTTTATAGGAATTGGGGCAACACTGTAGGAGGGGGATATAATTTGTATAAACTTTTTAGAGGTAAATCTGGGAATAGGTATAGAAAACTTTAAAAAATATGTGAATGTCCTTTGATTATTAATTCCTCTTCTAGGCATTTAGCCTTAAGAAATAATTGGACAAGTATGAAAAGGATGCGTGTTACCGGGTTTTATGGTATATTCATACAATATTGTACTATGCAACTTTAAAAGTTGTAGATTTTTATATATCAGCATAGGCTTAAAAAAGGATTATCAAATATTACTTATAGTATAGCATTTTTAGTAAAAATATAGATGTGTTTGCACAGAAATATGAATAAGAGCTAAGATATTAATGATTAATTACGATAGGATTACAGTCTATGCTCTCTAATTTGTCTACTTGTAGTGAAGGCAAACTTGACAATTTTCAGAGATACAACAGGTCAGGAACAGTGGTGCATGCCTGTAATCCCAGTGCTTTGGGAGGCCAAGGTGGGAGGATTGCTTGAGGCCAGGAGTCTGAGACCAGCTTGGGTGACATAGCAAGGTCCTGTCTCTAAAAAAAAAAAAAAAAAAAAAAAATAGCCAGGGGTGGTGGTTTGCACCTATAATTCCAGTTACTTGAGAAGCTGAGAGAGGAAAATCATTTGAGCCCGGGAGCTGGAGACTGCTGTGAGCTAGGATCGTGCCACTGCACTACAGCCTGGGTGATAGAGAAAGATCCTGCTCCTAAAAAGAAAACAAACCCATAATGAATAGATTCACCTTCGTTCTTAGTTATGATCAATTAAAGTGGAAGAAGGGAGAGAGAAAGAAAAAGAAATAAGGGACAAAAGAAAGGAAAAGACAGAAAAGGTGAGAGGGAGAGGAAAAGGGATGACTGGAAGGAGGCAGGGTAAGGGAGGAAATGAAAGAAATGAGCGAGAAGGGATGGAGGGTAGAGGGTAATCTAGCAGCCTCCAAGGTGAGGATGTTAATCAGATGACTTGTTCTTGGCACCCCTTGCTGTTTGTGTAAGGAGGGCAGCAGAATAAGCCATCAGCTGGATCACGCCTCCACACCTAATTGGCCCCCTAGAAGTTTAGAATCATTCTTTTTTTGTGCTAAGAAATGGCTTGTTTTTATTTTCTTTCAAAAATCAATATCTATTCTAAATTTGTAGTTGTATTTATTATACAAATAGTATATATTAATTGTGTGAACATCAGAAAATGTAAACAAAAAGATAAATCAAGGTTCCACGATAATACTTCATATGCCAGAGATATCCTGCTGTTAATCTCTGTTGTGTATGCCTCCCAATTTTGTCTGTTGCTATAATTGACTACAAGGCTAGCTTAGATATTTATGACTTTTCTTTTGCTGCCTTTTTTTTTGAGGCAGAGTCTCACTCTATCTCTCAGGCTGGGGTGCAGTGGCACGATCCTGGCTCACCGCGGTCTTGACCTCTCAGGCCTCAGCCTCTTGAGTAGCTGGGACTACAGGTGTGCACCACCATGCCTGGATAATTTTTTATTTTTATAGCAACAAGGTCTTGCTATATTGCCCAGGCTGGTCTCAAACTCCTGGGCTCAAGCAATCCTTTTGCCCCAGCCTCCTAAGGTGCTGAGATTACAGATGTGAGCCACCGTGCCTGTCCGTCATTGTCTCTTTGAAATTAAACTTTGTATTTTGAGATCATTGTAGATTTACATGCAGTTGTAAAAAACAATACAGAGAGATTCTAGATAGATTGTTGTTAAAAAAAATCAATTTGTTCACACTACTACATAATATTGCCCTGCCATATAGAGTAAACATATTTTACATCAACAAATACACCTTGATAGAAAAACATATTAGAAAATATGAAAATAAGATGACCTTCATAAAAGTAACAAAACGCATACAGTAACTAGGAATAAACTTAAGAAATATGCACAACTTAAATGAATAATTGTATACAACTCTACTAAGGGGACATAAAAGAAGATGCAAGGGGAAAAAAGGAAAAATATATCCTATTTCTGGAATATGTAATTTTTAGACGCAAGATTTTTTTCCATAACTTATAAAGATTTTGTAGGAATGTTAAAAAAAATTAGGTTTTAGAGTTGGGAACCTTAAATAAGTTGGTTAATTTATGGGTATAACCCAGAGTTTCTATGATATTTAAAACTGGCCGAATTGTTCATCCACACTGCTTAGTCAGAGAGATTTAGGCTACTTTATTCTCCAATATCTAATGGTTACTTCTAAGCTAGCATTCACCAGCTCGTTCTGAGCCTTTTTTCAAATCAAACCCAATTTTCAGTCTAGTTGGATTACGGTGGGGTTAATCCATAATAAGAATTAAAAGGGAAAAGAAGCAGCAAGACATATTTCAGTGTAATCTTGATTTATAGATACTGTTACTTCCTATGATGGTTGTTTTGTTTCTTTGTTTGGGATTTTTTTAAAGGAAAGGTTAGGCAGTTCCCTACACAAAAAGGGAGACCAAAAGACATGTACCAGAGGTTGCAAAATGGCAGTCTAAGGGTCACATTCAGCCTTCAGAAAGTTTTAAAAATCTCTCCAGACCCTTTAAAGTCTTTTAGTGAGTTGCCAACATTTTAAAATCAGGAAATTTGCATAAAAATGGATTTCTGGCATATTGGATCATTCCATAGGCAATCTAAGCCCATATTTAGATCAATAAGCCAAGCAGGGGCACCACTGACAATAATGGAGAAAATCAGAAAATTTTGAAGGAAGCGATTTTAATTTTAGCATACATGTAAGTTTGTGCAATTTTGAAAAGTAAAATTCTATTTATGTTTTAGAAATATATGTTGAATATTATTTGGGGAGGGACAGACACCATAACCCTTCCCAACTTTTGGTCCTCTAAATATCTTATTCTGAGTCTCATTTCCAGTTTCTCTTTAACAATCAGAAAATTTGGTCACACTGGACTGGAATTCCCAGTTGTCTGCCCTCATAAGACAAGGCATTTACAGTTCCTGCCACTTTCTGTTTAAGAAAAAAAAAAAATCCTTATCAACAAAGGTGCCTGAACGATGCATATTCGTATACCTAACCCTTAACTGTACCCCACAATTTAAAAATAAAAATATGGTTTAAAAAATATATATATGTATATATATGGTGCAGTCTACTCATCCAGGTTACCTGTCTGTGTGATGTTTCAGTTTGGGGTCCCTGAAACATACAAAGATCAACAAAGATTTCCACTCACACTTTCGATCTTTCAAGTACTCAGGATCAACCAGGACTACACCATCTATGGAGAGAGGGACAGATGACACCTTGGTCAGAAAAACTCTTAGACTATGAAGTAGAAGTTGAAACCTGAAATGACTCTTCCTATTCTTCTCTTTAATTTGCCCCCTTTTCTGTATGATATTTTTACTCCCTGGCTCCCATTTCCCTTTTCCCCGGGCTCTTCCTCTTTTTGGACTCACTGACCAATGGGTTCCACCATGTCCACATGGTCCACGAAGTCCCGTTTCCCCAGGTAGATGGAAAGCTGTTGTGGAACAATCTCCCATGTTATTCTCACAATCATCTTGAGCAGATTCTACTGAAGCCCCAAACCCAAACTCCTAAGACCTTGAAGGATGTACCCACCTATCCCTTTTGCCCTTTCATTTGCCCAGCTGGGCCAGGTTCTCTCACCTTCCCATTGGAGCTGGTCTTCTTAAACACCCTATGGAGAGAAAACAGAAAGAGAATAGGGAGGAGGATAGGGAAAGCAGGAAAGATGAAATGATGGGAGAGAAAAGGAAGGCAAATAGGGAGAAAAAAACAACATTCCTAGAATTAGGAGAAGAGTCTCCAGGAGCATAAGATGGAGCAAAGGTAGAAGTAATTGGGTAACTGGGATACAGTTCAAGGCCACAAGTTAGGGAGAGGTTGGAAACCCCTCTACCTCAAAGGCAAATACTTGGGTTTGGCCAGGAAGCGATTCACAGATTCAGAGCATTAGAAGGAGTTCTTACTTACTTGTTGGCCATAGAGTTGATGTTGAGCCTTTTCTGGGAAGAAGGAAAGAAGAAAGGCTCAATTGTTTGGTCTCTATTTTTCTTACCCAAGTACAGTATGCCATCCATATACACCTAGTGTGATGTAACCTTTCCTCCTTATATAGATACCTCACCACCACTAAGTGTCTCCTATTCTCCCTCCCACCAAGGGTATTTCTTTAGCCAGACTCTTACCCATCCCTATCTTGTACAACTCCTTGACTAACCATATTGTCTATTCTCCAGAAATGACTGGACTTCCTGGAATGGCTGAGGCACTCTTAAGAGCTTTCAGAGAGAAGGGAATGGTCTGGAAAGGGACTGGACAGAAGCCTCCATCCAGAAAAAAAATGTGTTTCTTGGTCTGGATGAGGCTGGATAACACCTGGCACACAGTAGGCACCAAGACATGTTTGATAGATATGTTAATGAAAAATGAATGGATTCTGTCTCTTTCTGCTTCTGAACTGAATCCCGAGCCTGAGTATCCTCTTGATGGCCTTGACCCTTAGTCAGAAAGGGAGAAAGGCATGAGACAGAAGGGGTTGGTGCCCTCGTACTCTTGGTTGTTGGTGGCAGAAGCCTCTATGGAGACTGAAAGTCCTCCTTGAACCTCTTCATTCCTCTCATTGCCTTCCCTAAATTTTCCCATCCTTATTTCCATCTATGTCCCCAGGGATAGGGAGTAGGGATCCTTAGAGAGAGGAAGATGTCTCTCTAGTGTTTCCCTTTGATGAATGCTGAGCTTGGCCCAAGGGGTGAGCTTAGGAAAGCTTCCAGAGGTCTCTTTTAGGGACTCTCAGCCTAAATGTCTTTTGGCTGTGTCAGAAAAGGTGCCCCTCTACTAATTCCTGATATATTAAGAGAGATGCTAAGAGCAAGGGATATAGGACTGAGTATGGGCTAGAAGTAGAGGGCTTTAGAATATTACCTGGGGAGAGAGATGATGTTCACATCAGTCTCCAGCTCTGGTTGCTATACTTGCATCCTCAGCCTCTTATAACCACAGTCCTCTGAATGCTTAGATTGGTGGGGGTCACAGGAGAAGAATAGGGGGCATGAAACACTGCTATAAATAGCTCAAGTGCCAAGAGTTTGGAAAGCAGATTAGTGCCTAAAAGATTAGTAGCTAAAAGATTAGCAGGCTATTGCTGCTGGGACAGGATGGGAATAGGAGTTTGATTCTGATGATGTTAAAGGCAAGGGAGTTTGAGAGGGTAACTGCAGGGTTTTGGCCTTGTGAGACCCTGGGCCCAGTGGCTGGGATCAAAGTGGAATTTGAGGTCTTAAAGGTGAAGTATGGTGGGGGATAGAAATCAGAAGGCTTGGGCCAGGCGCAGTGGCTCATGCCTGTAATCTCAGCATTTTGGGAGACAGAAGTGGTAGGCTTGCTTGAGCCCAGGAATTTGAGACCAGCCTGGGCAACAAAGTGAGGCCCTGTCTCAAAAAAGAAAGAAAGAAAGAAGGGGAAAGGAAGGAAGAAAGAAAGAAAGAAAGAAGAAAAGAAAAGAAAAAGAAAAAAGAAAATAAGAAAAAAAGAAAAAGAAATCAGAAGGCTCAAAGTATAGACCTTTGTGTTTCTGAAAGAGAATCCTATGCCACATTCTCATCTCTTTATCAGGACTTCCTATCCACACAAAAGCCAAAGGTATGGGAAAGAGTACCCCTTCCCCAGCCCCCCACCACTTGGGACTTCAGACTCTTGAAGCTGATGTTCACAAACCCTGATTATCCCAGCTTATGTGCACAGCGGGAGTCAATCTTCTGTAGGTAGTGGGGACAGGAGTGGGGGAGAGTGGAGTGTATTGAGCAGTGTGTGCTTGTGTCTGTGAGCCTTGAACTTATTTTGTTGTTGTTGTTGTTGTTGGAGACGAAGATAACATAAGAATTCTGGCCAAGGAACAGATTCTTCTGGCAGGGCATTGCATCTGGAGGGAGTAGACAACTTATATTTGTGTCATCCCCCACCTAGGGAAAACTCCCATGCTCCAGCTTTTGACTCTCTCCAATCCCTGAAACTAAGTCCATGCTCTAAGCAGCTTCTCTTACCTCATATGACCGCTTATGGAATTAGAGATATTTTTGTCTCTGCAGCTGCCAGGAGGACCCCCACAATGGCAACAACAAAGTAATCTTCCTTTTCTGACTATCTTTCTGATATGGCCTAGACTCAGGCTTCATGGGGATGGAGAATGTAGAGACATAATCTTCAAGCTCTGGGGGACTAGGACCCTTATCCCCTTTGCCTCCATTTAGAGCTGTCTGGCCATTAGTACTTATCTGTAGACACAGCCTTCAACCCCCACAATGTAGTATCCATTCCTCAGAAGATGGCTATGCCTATGGCCTAGAGGTCTGGGCAGGGCCTTCCCTAACTTCTGCTTCTCACTGAGGACCCTGGACAGTTATCTTGTATTCCTTTTGCACAGTTAAGTGTGCTGACCTCTGTCATTTCTGGCCAATATGCAGCTCAGGGCCTTGTTGTTTAGTTGCTATAACTCTCTCCTTCTTGGGTGTTTCCAAGTAAAGTGAGAATCTCAGACTCTGCAGGGACCATAATGGGGTAGAAACTATTATTGGACACATAGGACAGGCCGTATACATGCCAAAGTTGGTGTCTGTGGGGAAGGTGAAAAGTCAGAATATATTTACTTTTGGACTAGTCTTCAATCCATTTTAATCTTCAGATCCACACTCGAGACTCCGGCCTCACTTTTAGCTACTTATCCCCTTTTCCTACTTAGATCCATGGGCCTCTCAGTAGGAAGAAAACACACCTGCTAGATCTTTAATTCATTATTATGATTGAGATGATCATGATCTCTTTTCAAGTATGTGCATTTCTTGACTGAGGTATAATTTACAGACAGTAAAATGCACAAAAAAAGAAAGAAAAGAAAAAATAAAATAAGAAAAAAAAGAAAAAGAAAAGAAAAAAATCAGAAGGCTCAAAGTATAGACCTTTCTGTTTCTGAAAGGAGAATCCCATGACACACTCTATAAATGCAGCACTTAATCTATAAGTGCAGCTCAATGAATTTTTGCCTACTGTGGCAGGCTGAATACTAGTCCCCAAAGATGTCAGGTCTTAATCCTGGCGCCTACGAATACTACCTTATTTTGAAAAAGGATGTTGCAGGTGTGATTAAATTAAGGATTTTGAAATGAGGAGATTATTCTAGATTATCCGGTTGGGTCCTAAATTTAATCACCAGTATCTTTATGAGAAAGAGGCAGAGAGATTTGACTACAAGAGACAGCAGGCAATATGAGAACTGAAGCAAGATGCTACACTAATGGCTCTGAAGATGGAGGAAGGGGTCATGAGTCAAGGAATGCAAGGAATACAGCTCTAGAATATAGCTACCCTATAGTCTCATGGTCAAAAGGTGGCTATTGCTGTTCAGGCAACACCCTGCTGACACCTTGATTTTGGCTCACTGAAACTGATTTTGGACTTCTGACCTCCAGAACTGTAAGAGAATTAATGTGTATTCTTTTAAGCCACCAAGTCTGTTGTAATTTGTTACAGTATCCATTAGAAATGAATACACTTGAGTAAACACACATGTAACCACCACCGAGATCAAGATGTAGAACTTTTTCATTTCCCCAGAAAATTCCTTGGCCCCTTTCCAGTTAGTAACTTCCCAAAGAAGACCATCACCATAGTTTCATCTACAAGGATGCAACAATAAGAAGACAAAGGAATGCGTCTCTAATTATGTAGTTTCTGGACCCTATAATAGATTGGTGGGAGAAATATTTGCAGGTCCTTACCCATCCTCACTCTGCATACCCTAAAGATATTCTCAACCAGACCTTCTAGTTAGAAAGTGATGATCATATCTGTGCATGAGGAAAAGGTGGTTTATTCAGTAAAATGTTATAGCAGACAGAATTGTTTATCAACTCAGTTGTCATCTCTCTCTTCCTCCTGTGAGAATCTCTCTCTTCATTCTGTGAGTGGAATCCTTATTTTTTTTGTTTGTTTTTTTAAGAGATAAGGTCTTACTCTATTGCCCAGGCTGGAGTGCAGTGGTACACTCATAGCTCACTGCAGTCTTGAATTCCTGGGTACAAGCCATTCTCCCAAGTAGCTGGAACTGCAGGGATGCACCACTATGCCCAGCTATTTCTTTTTTATTTTTACTTTTTGAAGAGACAGGGTCTTGCTATGTTGCCCAGGTTGGTCTTGAACTCCTAGTCTCAAGCAATCCTCCTACCTTAGCCACCAAAAGCACTGGGATTACAGGCCAGAATCCCCATTTTTTTAAAAAAAAGCCACTCCTTGCTCGTCCACAGGATTCTGTGCCCCTCTATGCCAGCTATGGTCATTTTATCTCTCTTGTCAGTGATTGGTTTAGTTATAGGCATGATGAAATTCAGGCCACTGAGGTGTGAAGGAGAGGTATACTGGGGAGATTCTGGGAAAGGTTTCCTGAATGATAAAATAAGCATACAGAAAAGAGAGGACTTCCTCTCTTACCATTGAATATTGCCATGTCTGAATGCAGTGCCTGAACTGCAACAGTCACCTTGTGATCATGAAAGTTGTTAAACAACATGCTAAGGTTTGCAAATCAGAAAGATGGAAAGAATCGGGATTTTTAAAATGACATTGTTCAACTGCTGAATTAGTCAACTCCAAAGCCTCCTACTCTTGGACTTATATGCAAGATAATATATTTGGGTTTTTTTTTTAAACAGTCTGCTGAGTAGGAATTTTCTGTTATTGCAACTGAAAGCATACCAACAGATTCTAGTGAGATGTGGGCAAAGGCTCAGTTGGAGAGCATGGAAAGGAGATGGATGGTTCAAATGGTAGAAACAGACTTTCTGTGCTGTCCTAGGTGCTGAACAAAGCAGTCCTGGTCTCTGCTCTAAAATTGTTAACAGACTTGCTGGAGATAAAGTCAGACATTTAAAAAGACAAAAAGGTCACACTGCAGAGAAGATATATGGACACAACTAATTTGGGTACAATTATATGGAGCCAGGCACTTTCCCGTGATTTTATTAGTAAGTTTGGTTATCCAGGGCTTCAGATTCCTGCTTCTTTTTGTCAAGATTGGGTGACTGTCTTTGTTCCACTTACTCTCAGCATTTTTTCACTTCATAAAGAAAATCCAGGCAATTGGGGTGAACCTCTCGCATCTTCAAATGCTTCTATATTTCCTATATTTTAATTCCTAATAATGACGATGAGGACATTATGCTGGGTTCCTTACATGCATTGCCTCATTTTCTTCTCACAAGCTAGGCGCTAGTATCCTCATTCTACATATGAAGAAATGGAAGTTCAGGAAGACTTATCCATAGTCATAACTGGTAGATGATGGAGCCAGAGTTCAACCTTAGGTCTGTCTGACTTCAAAGCCTGCATTTTCCCCACTATATCACTTACCTTCCCTCACTCATTTCTTTCCTCTTTCCCTCTCTTTTCCTTCCTTCCTTCCTTCCCTCCTAATTCAGCTAACTCAGGGAAATAGCAAACATTGCAGAGAAACTGTCATCTGCACAATTTGAATATTAGATGTGAGGGATCAGGAAGAAGAGGACCGGAACAAACTGGAAGAGTAAGGCAATGGAAGTGTATCAGTAATAATGGTATTCATACCTTTTATTTATCTCTGTCAGGGAATAAAAGATAATGAACTTTTCCTGCATGCTAAATTCCTGATGTCAATGAAATACCCAGGTGAATGTGTCCTATAGTAAACAACATATGCATGACTTAGACTATAGATGTGGGAACCATTGATTCAACAAATTATAACTTAGTCATTCATTTATTCAATGGATATTTATTCAATACTTACTATATGCAAGGTACCTGTTTTCTTATCTCTGAACTGGAAAGTATGTTTTGGACAGCAGGGCATATAATTTGAAAGAAAATATCTAGAACACATATAATAACTTTACCTGGAAGGCTGTGGAAAAGGCAGAGGTAAAACAAGGTACATGTTTTTAAGGAGTTCTTCTTGTGTGGGGGTGGGAAGATCAGGAGGATCTGGGCAAAATCACAAATGAGTATAACTCTAGGCTGCTTGTGGTATGTGCCATCAATGTAGAAGCCAAATGTGATAAGAATGTGAGAGAGGGAGAGATAAATTTTGATCAGAGAGAGAGATTTGTATGCTGGAGTGTCTTGGTCACTAAAATTATTGATAATTCCAAGTCGTAGTCGAAATCATAAGAGTGGAAGTTCTGAGGGAGAAGGGAAGAGAGGGGGAGGGGGTGGGGAAAGAGAGATGATGTGGGAAGATAGAGGACAGGGGAGAGAGATTTTTTGAGGGAAGACTCACATTTGGGAAAAAGAAGACAAAAAGTAACCAGGGAAGGAGTCAGAAGGAACAACCAGGAATAGGAGAACCAGAGTAATACAAAGTCACAGAAACCAAAGTGAAGAAGAATTTCACAAAAGAGAGCAAGTGTGATCTGCTGCGTTCCATTTCTTTTGAGGAATGAGGGTAATGGAAGCCAGGGCTTTTGGTTGGGGAAGCTTGGGAGAGCTCTTTTCCTGAAGTAGCCACTGGGTGGTAGTGGTGGCGGCGGCAGCAGCTGCAGCTGTGTCCAGGGACAAGCAGAAGCCAAGCAGAGCTAAGTCAGGTGGAATGGAGCAGAGCTAAGTCAGCCTGGAACAGTAAGGGCAGGAAGTTGGCTCAGGCTGGGGCTTCTCTAGTGTGATGCTTTGCCTTGGATGTATACCGAGCCTCAAGTCACATTTGTCCACCTCTGAAGAGGCCAGGTTTATCTCTTGGAGCAAAGTTATAATAAAAAACATCCATAGATTTGCAACATTTTATGGTTTACAAAGTGTTTCCACACCTATTAACCGATTTAATATTCAGACAACCCTAAAAGGTTGATATCATCATTCCCATTTCATTAGTGAAGAAACAAAGTTACAAAGAGGTGCCAAGGGTCACATAACTAGTAAGTGGAAGAACAAGGTTTTAAACTCAAGTTCACCTTCCTTCAGAAACCTGGGCCTTTTATGCAGTATCACAGTGGTCAGCTGTCCAGGACTCAGGTTATGACCGCTACACTCCTACTTTTATCCCACCCCCTACCCTGCCACAGGGCAAGGATCCTTAGTATCTTTCAGTTTCTCACATCCAGGTTTCTGGGCTTGCCAAGAGATGCAGACTCTAGATTCTAGAGCCTCCTTTGCAGGCCTACCTCCTCCTCTCATTCTCAGGATCAAGCTGGGCAACATTCTCAGGACCTGAGGATCAGGTTCAGAGTCCCCATTGCTTCTCAGCTCCATTTAGGGTGGATTTTGCTCTGGCCTTCTTACCTTTCCCCAAAGGCACTGCCCACCTCATCCTCAGAGTTCTCCAGACCCAGAGTTTGCCTCTGGTGCCTAAGACATTCATATTATAGAGCCTTAGTTAGCTTCAGGAGCTCCAGACCCTGAGTTGCTGACAATTCAGTGTTCCCTGGCACTGAGCTCTCAAACATTTAGGCCTGCTCTCTGTACCTCCTCCACTGTATCTAGACCAGGGTCTCTGGGAGTGATAGAGAGAGATAAGGGGTGCTGTGTAGGAAGAGATGGGGTCTGTAGGGGAAACTTATTGGCTAGTATCCTTAGGAAGGCATGACCTTCCTCCTGGTCATTTCCTCTTACATGTATATTAGGCATCTCAAAATGTACTGGCTGAAAAATGAACTCCCAATCTTTCCCCAAACCTGCTTCTCTCGCAGCCTTCCCTGTCTCTGTCATCAGTAATTCTATTCTTCCAGTTGCTCAGGCCAGAGATCTTGGAGTCATTTTTGACTCTTCTCTTTCTCTTACACTCCATATCAGTAACTCTTGCTGTCTCTACGTTCAAAATCCATCCAGAATCTGACCACTTATCATCTCTACCACAATGGTCCAAGTTACCATCACCTCTATTGGCAATAGTCTCTTGACTGATCTTCCTGTGTCACCATCCCTGCAGTCTATTCTCAACATAGAGCTGGCCAGTGAGCCCTCTAAGATGTAAATCAGACCATGAAACATCTCTCCTCTATACCCTCAATGCCTTCCTATTCACTAGAAGTAAAAACCAAAGAGTTCTTTCAGTGGCTTCCAAGGACCTTCATGATCTGGTCCCTGCCAAGCTCTCTGACTTCATTTACTTTTTCTCCTCACACCTGTTCTTTATTCAGAAGTCACCCTTAATATTTCAAACAGCTGCCTTCTACATTCCCCTTTCCTTCTCTCTCTATTCCCCCTTTCTCTTTTATTTTTATCCATAATGATGATTACAATCTATATATTGCACTTATTAATTTTATTATTCTCCCAGTAGTGTGTAAGTACCATTAGAGTGGGAGTTTCTGTCTATTTTCTTCACTATTAGGGAACTACCAGTGTCTAGAATTGGACCAGGCACATAGTAGGCTCTCAGTAAATATTTGTTGATGTTTTTTTTCCTGGATCATGACCATTGGCTTAGAGAGACAACTAAGCATAGTAATTAAGTCATGGATGCTAGAGCCTAGTCCAAAGGCAGGCCTGCCTTGGCTCAAATCTTGGTTTTGCCACTAATCAGCAAAACACCTAAACTCTCTGTGCCTTCCTTTTTTCATCAACAAAGTAGAAACAATAATAGTACCTAGTTCATGCAGAGCCTACGGGCTCATTAATAAGTATTAAACACTTAGAACAGTGCTTGGTACATAGTAAGTGGTATATATTTTCATTTGTTGTAATTATATGCATATGGAGTTAAGGTTTGTATCAGTATTTTAGATTTTCTAAAATCTTTCAATGTGTTGTCTTGCACTTGCTCATGTTAAAATTCATTTCCTGTGTTTCTGTTCACATAGACTTGCATGATCTTTCTGTAATTCATCTTCAGTGGCCTGGCTATTCATCTAAAGACTTGCATATTTCCTTGTGTGCTCCTTCCTATAGTCATTTCAAAGCTGTTAATTAGTAATCTTACTGGGCCCCAGTTTCCCAATCTGTACAATGAGTGGGTTGGACTAGATAATCTGAAAGGGCCTTTCTAGCTCTTACAATCTCCCGGTAGGAGGAGAGACAGGCCCCACCCCCAACTCCACCCCCTTGGATATGCCCTCTGGCTGCCAAGGGAAAGGGTGACAGAGTCAGCTGGGCTCAGCTTCAAGGGGATCAGGTAGGAGACGTGCCAAGATTCTTGGGCAAGGGTGGTGATGGGCTCCTGGGCTATAAGCAGGAGGGGAAAAGGTGTCAGAGGTAAATGTCATCCAAAGACACTGTGACCAGGGCAAGAGTAGTGGTGAAGTCACTGTGGGGAAATTCGCCACTCTTCATGGGGACACAGTGTGATGACAAGTTAGGAGACAATTTGGGTCTGGGCATCTTCCCATTTTGGATAGTGTTGGTAGGCCTCCACTTTCTTTGGCTTGAAAGGCTCTGAGGGAAAGAGTCAGTTGCAGAATGTGAACAACAAACCCACTGACCACCCTTCTGAGCCCCAGCACTGCCTGCTGCCCACTACTACTCAAGCTGACCCAGGGGAGCTCAGGTAGAAACCAGCCTGGCCTGAGTGTGCCCAGATGAACTGCTTTCCATTCTCCCTAGTTCTTCAACCATTGCTCTCCTTGCTCTATGTTTTTTTTTTTTTTTGCCCCAGGTCAGAGCTGTTGGGGAGTGGGCAAGGACATCTAGCCACCCTCACTTCTGCCCTTTCCACCTCTAGGGGGGCCATGGCCAGTGCAGAGTCCTCGTCGTTGAGATCCCTGGGCCCTGACCCAGATCCTGATGGCAGTGAGGTGGAGCTGGACTGCTGGTTTAATGAGGATTTCAAGTTTATCCTGCTGCCTGTGAGCTATGCAGTTGTCTTTGTTCTGGGCCTGGGCCTCAATGCTCCAACCCTCTGGCTCTTTCTCTTCCGTCTCCGACCCTGGGATGCAACAGCTACCTACATGTTCCACTTGGCATTGTCAGACACCTTGTATGTGCTGTCGCTGCCCACCCTCATCTACTATTATGCAGCCCGCAACCACTGGCCCTTTGGCACTGGGCTCTGCAAGTTTGTCCGCTTTCTCTTCTATTGGAACCTCTACTGCAGTGTCCTGTTCCTCACGTGCATCAGTGTGCATCGCTACCTGGGCATCTGCCACCCGCTGAGGGCACTACGCTGGGGCCGCCCTCGCCTTGCAGGCCTTCTCTGCCTGGCAGTTTGGTTGGTTGTGGCTGGCTGCCTCGTGCCCAACCTGTTCTTTGTCACAACCAGTACCAGAGGGGCCACCATCCTGTGCCATGACACCACTCGGCCTGAGGAGTTTGACCACTATGTGCACTTCAGCTCGGCAGTCATGGGGCTTCTCTTTGGCTTGCCCTGCCTGGTCACTCTTGTCTGCTATGGGCTCATGGCTCGGCGCCTGTGTCAACCCTTGCCAGGGGCTGCCCAGTCGTCTTCTCGTCTCCGTTCTCTCCGCACCATTGCTGTGGTGCTGACTGTCTTTGCTGTTTGCTTCGTGCCTTTCCACATCACCCGCACCATTTATTACCTGGCAAGGTTGTTGGAAGCTGACTGCCGGGTGCTGAACATTGTCAATGTGGTCTATAAAGTGACTCGGCCCCTGGCCAGTGCCAACAGTTGCCTGGATCCTGTGCTCTACCTGCTCACTGGGGATAAGTATCGACGTCAGCTCCAGCATCTCTGCCATAGTGGCGGGCCCCATCCTCCCACAACTGCCTCCTCTCTGGTGCTGGTGTCTCTGCCTGAGGAAAGCAACTGCAGGTAGGCAACCACCCCCTAGGACAGTAGCTGCCTTACCCATAGGGCAGATAGATTGTAACACTGGAAGCCAGGAAATGAGATAAAAGGGGATGAATGCAGGGCAGAGGTGAGGGAATCCAATCATAATACCTGACAGGGTGCTTCCTCCTCCTTTCCAGGCTCTGGAAAGCAACCCCCACCCTGAGGGTTTTGGAGAGGCAGGGAAATCATGTGACACTCTATCTCTCATAAACTCTTCTTTTTCTTTGTCTCTGTCCTCTCCTGGGGCTGTTAGTCCCACAGCCTCCTGGAAATCTTCTTGGTTGTCTTTCCCCATCCTATTTCCCACATTATCCTCCCTTTTTTTGGTGGGAAAGCAGGATTTATCAAGAGAACAGAAAAGTTCCCAGAGCAGGAAGGGACCTTAGGGGGTTGCCCCCCCTTTTATTAGATTGGAAAATAGAGTTTATTTAGAAAGTGAGAGAGAGAGAGAGAGAGAGAGAGAGAGAGAGAGAGAGAGAGAGAGAGAGAGAGAGAAGAGATTCACCTTCCCAAGGTGGGGGAGGGGACCAAAGCTAGGAAATATGGTGGCCATAGCTCAAAGAGCCACATAGACACACCAGAATTTAGAAAAGCAATGACTCCCTCTATATCCTCCTATAGCATGTGTTTCCTCAGTCAGTCCAGAGCATTCAACTGAAGGTATGGATAAGGCAGAGTAATCTCAAGATTGGCCTGATTTATCTGATGCTGATAACCAGAATCAGGAAGTGGGGGCACCTTACATACCACAGATGCCGAGGATGTGCTGTGTAGCACCCATACCCACTTCCTGGTACCCCCTTAGAAGACAGGTTAGTCTTGCCTACCACGGTGCTAGAATAGGGCACAATCTTAGGGGGCCTGTATGCCAGGGTCTTTACATGCAGCAGGAGGCCTGGCACTGTTGATTGGCGTACAGCATGAGTTAGAGTCCTATAATGGGGCGGGGACCCTGAGGAGACTCGGGGGTAAGGCCCCTGTTGATAACAGCCTTTGGGACAGGAATGGGACTGGAACTCCTTTTATGATATTTGCTGAGAACATATTTGGCAATTCTCCTGTACTTAATGAAAGGAAGACTAGATGCCTCAGACTGAGGAGGAGGAGGAGCTTTCATGTTTATGGTTATAATTTCTGGCTTGCACTGAGGGGTAGAGCAGGTTTGTGCAGAGGATGGGGTGGTGGCAGGAATTGATGCCCAGAGCTGGTGCTGTACCGAGCTCTTCTCTTTCTCTAACTCTTGCCCAAGATAAGTGCTAACTCTATCACCAGCTCTTTCAGATCAGACTTTGAGGTCAGGGCAGAGCACTGGGATCAGGACAGTTTCCCTCAGAATTTCCTACGTGTTCATTCCTTCTCTCTCCCAGTATGGGGTGAGGGGTATGGAACTTGGAAAGCTAACCCCTAAGCCTTGGTAAGTAAGAATTTCTGGGCAGGCATTCATGAAAAGAGTGGGCTCACACTTCTAAGCTTTCCTTTTCTGAAATAGCTTTTCCACCTATTGATCTCCTAAGCCAGACTCAAGCCTTGCCTTTCTTTTGTTCCACCCTTCTTGACCCGTCTCTGATCTTTGATCTAGTGATACCAAGTTCTTATTGGTTTCTAAGGGGTCTCTCTCTAGAGAGTAGGGTTCAGGTGGACTGTAGAAAAAAATGATTTCAGTGTCTCTAAATTTCCATTGTTGTTCTTTGAAGGGCTCCTACTTTCTTACTAGATGCCCAGGACTCTCCTGCTCTGCAGGACTCTTTCCTTTAGGAGTAAATTAACTGGCCTTCTTCACCATTCCTTACTAGTCTCCCAGTCTCATGGGCACTGCCTAAATGATTGCATAACTTGTTCCCCATCTGCACTTTCTCCCGTGTATTCCTATGATCATGGCCTCTCTGCCATTCACCTCCCCTGCTTGCCATCCCCACCCAGTAAAATTGCTCTCTCCATCCCAACTGACTCAGCCTCCTCCATTTCCTCAGTCCCATATGTGTAATCCAGACAAACCGCCTAGACTTCCTGGTCTGTTACTTTAGGGCTGCCTTCTCTAGCAATTTAGCTTTAGTTCACCTTGGGGTAATCTTCTCTTACCTAGGACTGGAGGGGACTGTGGATGAAGCCCGAGCACAAAGTTGAGTTGACCAAATAAAACTTTGTGTCCTGTAACTTCACCAAAGCTCTCATTCCTTTTAGCCTGCTGAGTTCCTAGTGAATGTTCCACAGTAGCTGTTTCCTATTTTTTCTACCTTCTGAAGGCCCTAACTTCATTCTCCCTTTGTGTCCTCTAAAGAGTTCTCTTATCTGTTGCAAAACTGAGAAGCTCTGATACCTCGACTTCTCTCTGTTTCATTCATGATAGCTCTACTTCTATATCTACCTTGTTTTTTCCCTTTCTTTCTTGCAGTTCCAGAATAAGAGGTAGTGTTTTTTCCTCATTCCATTGTTTATTCCTCTTTATCATTTTCAGTCTCTTCCCTCCCTGATTTCATCCCTTCTTAAAACAAGCAAAAGCCAACCAAACAAAAACTTAACATTACCAGACACTTCAACCCTGCTGTTCCTTCCAGCTACCATTCTATTCATTTCATTGCCAAATTTCTAGAAAGAATACTATAAACCCCACTTACTGACCACAAAATCACCCTTTAACTGTCTGAATCTGTTTTCCTTCCTACACTTTCCTGTACTCAGAGCAACACAAATAATCTCTTAAGAAAGACTTTTAATGATCTTTTCTGTCATAATCCTCTTTGACCTCTCTACTTCACTTGACACTGTTACATGTCTTTTAAAAATTATTTTTATGTTTCCACATTCCACTTTGTCAGTTTGCATACATATACATATTTTATATAAATGTAATTAAAGCATACACATCTTTTAAAATTATGCTTTTAAAACAACTTTTATTGTAAATATTATTTCTGTTGCTATAGTTTTTCGTATTTATCATTTTGACGGTCACATACAGTTATATCCACCAGTATATTGTACTTTATTTAGCTATTCTCCTATAATTAGATATTTAAATAACTCCAAATTTTTCTGTGCTTTGAACATCTTAATATGTACAGTTCTTTTCTTCTTTGTAATTCTGTCTCTAGGACAAGGTCCCAGGAGTGAGATTACTAGACCAAAGAGCAGGAACGTTTTTGTGGATCATGATTTCCAAAAGGACTGCACAAATTTCAACACCACAATGACATATGAATGCTCCAGTTCCCTTGAAGCTCTAATATCAGACTTTATAAAAAATCTTTTGGGATGGTTAAAAATTAATTTAATAATTTTTTCGTTTCTCTGATTACTCATGGGACTGAACATTTTTCCATATGTTTACTATTTGCATCATTCTTCAGTTGGAATCTTAGTGGTATTCTTATCTATCTAAATGTATTCTTTATTTAATATACATGTTAATACTTTGTCATATTTGATATAAATATTTATCTCATTAATAGTAATACTTTTAATTCCTTGTTTTAGCCCCTTGATTTAGAATTTCTCTTCTCCTGCTTTTACTTCTCTGATTACTTTCTCTGTATCTCCTTTGCTGGCTTCTCTTTCTCTTTTACTCCCTAAGTGAATAGAGTTTCTGAGATCTGTCACAGAATCATAGCATTTGGAGATTATTTAATGCCTTTCCCCCATAAGACTGTTGATTTTCTCTTAGAGAGGAAATGTATGCAGGTCAATACAATTCAGTTGATTCATGGTCCTTAAGAGTACCTCAGAGATCATATGAGGCGGGGCCCAAAAAAACCCTTGTAAGTATCTCTTGTAGGGCAGGCTCCTTGGAGTACACTTGGAATTTGTTCCTCCAGATCAAGCAATCAACCAAAGCTTTTATCTGGAAGTTTTGAGAAGGTTGCATCATGATTTGTGGAAGAAACATCCCAAGTTGTGGCAACCAGGTGACTGGTTCTTCCACCATGACGATGCACTTGCCCACACTGCTCTGAGTGTTCAGCAGTTTTTGACCAAAAACAGTGTGACCCCCATGCCCCACATTCTCTATTCATCTGATCTGGTCCTGAGTGACTTTTTTGTTTCCCAGAAGAAAAAAGTCCTCAAAGGGAAATGTTTGCCAATGTGGAAGAGGTGAAACAAAAAGTGGCAAAAGTACTGAAAGACATCAACATTGATGTGTTCAAAAACTGTTTTGAGCAGTGGAAAAAGCATCTCTATAGGTGTATTGCACCAGATGGAGAGAACTTTGAAGGCGACTGAAGTTTAAACATGTAAGAATAAGTACACAATTTTTAAATAAATTCTGGGGTTTTTTTTTGTCTCTCCCATATAGTGCCTGAGTACTTCTTCACTTTACAGTGAAGGGAACAGGCCCAGAGAGATGGCTTGCCCATAACTTAGTAAGTTGGTGGCAGAGCAGAGACTAGGTATCCTGACTCCCAGGGCTTTTCCCATTACACCATAACAACGAAGTTCTAGGTCTGACCTCTCAAGTTCCATGTCTACATCTTCAATTGCTTACTAGGCAGTTTCACTTGGACCTTCCATTGTTACTTCCACCCCAAGATGTCAAAAACTAACTTCCTGAACCAGTTTCCCTACCTGCCTTGCTGATTTCTGTTCATGGAATTTTTTCTTCATGTCACCTAGGTTTGAAAACTCTCAGGCAAGTTCAACTCTTGTCTCCTTTCTTCATCTTGCCAATTACAATTGGCTTTCTTTCATAGTCCCAGCATTATATTGGCTCTTGTCACTTTATCTCTACCTAACTGATTGTTTATAGGTTTCTATCTGGTCTTCCTTACCTCCAGTCTCTCCTTGCCTGAATGCATCCTCTACAATGTATATTGCCGGATAAATCTGCCTATATACTGCTTTCAGAGTTTCACTATTTACTCAAAATTATTTCACAGTTCCCTATTGTCTATATTTTTCATTCTTTCCCAATATAAATCTCTATTCTCTAGCTAAATTGATCTCCTCATTCTTTCTTCAAGCAAGACTTGCACTTTCTCTCTTCTGCAC